TTCCCTCCTTCCTCCTGGTGGAAAAGGAACAAGTGTAGGAAAAGGTGTTAGTTAACAGAACCAGAGTGGAATCTGAACTGAATTAGGAGAAAGCTAAGGCTCCGTTTTTTGTTTTTGTTTTTAAATGAATCGTGTTATTTGTAACTTGAAGGTGGGCTGTGTGGAGCAGGAGAGGGGTGAGGACAGAATGGCAAAATAGAGCCGGGTGTGTAATTGCCCACCCCACCCCCCATCCCCCCGGCCGTCACACCCCAGCACTCTCTTACTCTCTGGCATGCCACATCTTCGCTCTTGTTAGCCCTCTTCCTGGCCCGTGTTCTGTCAGGGACCAGCAGCCCTCAGGCTCTTTTGACCCCAGTGGAATAGTTTGCATTAGCAAGAGGATTCTTGGGTTTGGTTTTTGAAAAAGAGGTGAGCAAGGATGAGCGAGCTGGCTGGATGTGTGGGTGGTGGGTGGGACTCATATTTGGGCAGCATTCCTCCTCGGGGCCTGTCCCGGCTTCCACCATGTGCCTTTGGGAGCCGCAGAGTCAGACAGTAAGTAGAAGACGGTGGGTCTGTTACAGTGTGGGACGTGCACAGCGCAGGGAAGAGTGGAGGGTAGCCTGGCAAGCCGGGGCATGGAGAATGTCGGGGTCTTCCCTGCACTGATCCTGAGGTTAAGAAGCCTGTTTCCAAATCTAAAATTGAGCCTAAACTTCAAGGAAAGCCTTGATCTTCTAGAATATTCTGGTTCTTTCCTTTCCCCGCCAGGTGTTTTTTCATTGCTCAGTCCTATGTGTTGGTGAAGAAGTGGAGCGAAGCCCTTGTCCTGTATGACCGAGTCCTGAAGTACGCAAACGAAGTAAATTCTGACGCCAGGGCCTTCAGGAACAGCTTAAAGGTGTGGCACTGCTCCTTGCCCCCACGCCCAGGGAAGCTATGCAGTGAGACGACCTCAGGCCCATCCTCCCTGGCCAGCTGCGGGTGTGGTGCGGCCCTGAGCGCTTCCAGGCCTGAGATGGACTCGGGTACTAAGAAGGAAAGCCATTCCTCTGGTTAAAATAAACTTGAAGTACTGTTCTCAGATTTGGCTACATGTTACAGTCACCTGGAAAGATTTTTAAAAGATGGCTGTCTGAGTCCCATCCCCCCAGATTCCCAGATTCTGGTTCTGATCCCTGTAGGGTCTGGGGTGCGCATTGGGATTTTGTAAAGCCCCTCACTGATTGTGATATGCAGCCGAGTTGAGAGCCAGTGATGAAGCCTTTCCCCACAAAGCGTGCCTGCACCAGCAGCAGCATTTGGAACTTGTTAGAAACGCAGACTCCCAGGCCCTGCTCCAGGCCTACTGAGTCAAAATCTGCCTTTTAGCAACCCCCCCAGGCAATCTGGGTATACCTCAAAGCTTACCTGCTGATGGAAAGTACTTGGTGGTTTGGTTCGTTTTGCTGCTTGTTGAATGACAGCTGGCTTTTTAAGCTGTGGACTGCTGTAATGATGTGGGGATCGAAGCACCAACTGGCCCAGGGAACCCAGGCGCGTTTGTTTACTAGTGGAGACCGTTCGGGAAGGCCAGCCGGGGTTGCCCTGGGCAGGCTGGCGCGGGAGCCACTGCTCTGTGGGCGTTCACCTGTTCCCTCAGAACAGCACTGGGTTCCGGGATAACATACACACCAGGCTTCTGCCTTCAGAGCCACACAGACTTGCCTGCGGGAAGGAGGAGGTCCTCGAGGGAAGGTGGGGATGGGAAGGAGGAGGTCCTCGAGGGAAGGTGGGGATGGGAAGGAGTCGGTGAGGGGGTATGTGACCAGCATGGTGGCAGCGTAATGATGGGGTGACCTTGGCCCCGGGATGTAGAGGCGGACTGTGTGGACGATTATCCCAGGAGGCAGGAAGAGGCGTTTACAAATCCCTGTCTGACCTAAGTCTGAGAATAGAGGCGGGAGGGGTTCAGATCTTTTCGGATTTTGCCAGGTGGGAGACTGCAGCCTGCCACGGGGCCCCTTTGTGCTTCAGTCTCCTCCTCTAAAGTGGAGTACAGATGAATTCAGGATTATTACGAAAATGGAATTAGCAATTGTGTGAACTGCTCAGAAGGCACCTGGCCCATCATGCATGTAGCATGTGATATGCTTATTCATAATATTATCCTTGCTACTGTCTCCAGGCATTATTACTTAAGCTAAGGCATCACTTTTTCTGTCTGAAACAAGTTAGTGCCTTTTTTTTTTTTTTAAGATTTTATTTATTTGATAGAGCGAGTGAGAGAGAGAGGAGCAGGAGGAGGGGCAGAGGGAGAAGCGGGTCCCCGCTGAGCAGGGAGCCCGATCTGAACCGAAGGCAGACGCCTAACTGAGCCACCCAGGTGCCCATTTTGTTTTTTTAAGTAGGCTCCACGCCCACTGTGGGGCTTGACCTCACGACCCTGAGATTAAGAGTCACATGCTCTATCATCGGAGCTAGCAGGCTAGCGTTTTTTGTTTTGTTTTGTTTTTTAAATACAGTAAACTGTTTATAAAGTCTAAAATCCTGTGGAAATAGTGGTGGGATCACTTAGCTCAGCTTAGTTTGGCACACTTGTCTGGCCCGGCTCTGGCTCATGAGTACATGTTTTTCTGAATCATTACAGGACCTGCCCGACGTGCAAGAGCTCATCACGCAAGTGAGGTCAGAGAAGTGTTCTCTGCAGGCAGCCGCCATCCTTGGTGAGCCACTTGCCTCTTCTTGTGACATGTTCCCAAATTTCCTTTGCTGGTATACCTCCCCTCTCCTGCCCCCTACCCTCCTGTTCTAGTTAATCTGTAAGATTTTTTTTTTTTTCTGCCATTATTTCTGCCACATGAAGGCATCAAACTGTGTGGAAGAATTTACTTACTTTTTTTTAAGATTTTATTTATTTATTTGACAGAGACACAGCGAGAGAGGGAACAAGCAGGGGGAGTAGAAGAGGGAGAAGCAGGCTCCCCACAGAGCAGGGAGCCCGATGCGGGGCCCAATCCCAGGACCCTGGGACCATGACCCGAGCCGAAGGCAGACGCTTAACAACGGAGCCACCCAGGCGCCCCTACTTATTTATTTTTTAAGATTTTATTTATTTGAGGGAGAGCAAGAGAGTGAGCACAAGCAGGGAGAGGGGTAGAGAGAGAAGCAGGCTCCCCACTGAGCAGGGAGCCCCATGTGGGGCTCGATCCTGGGACTCCAGGATCATGATCTGAGCAGAAAGCAGATGCTTGACCCAGTGAGCCCCCTGGGCGCTCCTGTGTGGAAGAATTTAGAGAACCAGTTCCGAGGTTCCTCCTCCCTAATAGTATTTTTCGTACAACCGTCGGGGCTCCACTGGCCTGACAATGTTGCTTCTGGGGTTTATCGTCTGTTTGTCGGCGCTGCTTAGACCTCGGCCCAGGAAGGAAAGGGCTATAACTTCCCCACGTGTTGCTGCCTTTGCTCTTGGGATTTAGAACCCATACATGTGATAGGTGTCATTTGTGACTATATCGTGTTAAGTTCCTGTTCTTACTGAATCCCTGTGCAACTTTCAGATGCAAGTGACTCCCACCAAACGGAGACTTCCTCCCAAGTCAAGGACAACAAGGTATGTCTGGGATGCAGCTTTTGAGGAATAAAGAGTAGAATTCATAACTCACTAGAAATGTGTGCTCAGTTGTAGAACAGACAACGCTTCATCTCTAAGCAAACCCCCTGTTTGCCTCCCTTCTGCTCAGAGACGTCACAGCTGCTTGTATAAGGTTTGCTCATGTCAGCTAGCTGGCCCCAGATAAGGAGCTTAGGAACTTGGGCTGTGAGGCGCGGCTGGCTAGGAGCTTGGCCTGGGACGCCCAGTACGCCTGTGCCCCTGGCCTGGCCCATGCCGCTCTCCACCTCTCTAGGTTTCGGTGACTTTCAGCTATGAGGTGGGGACGTGATGACACCCTTGTAGGAGATTGGTGGGGATCAAGCGAGGAAGCCCATGTAGGCTCTGAACTGGGTGCTCAGCACATAGTGCGTGTTCCACGGGTGGTCAGTGATTAACTCCTGGGTTCCTCCCTTTGGTTTGACTCCCAGCCTCTGGTCGAACGGTTTGAGACATTCTGCCTGGACCCCTCCCTCGTCACCAAGCAAGCCAACCTCGTGCACTTCCCGCCGGGATTCCAGCCCATCCCTTGCAAGCCTTTGTTCTTTGACCTGGCCCTCAACCATGTGGCTTTCCCACCTCTTGAGGACAAGTTGGAGCAGAAGACCAAGAGTGGCCTCACTGGATACATCAAGGGCATCTTTGGATTCAGGAGCTAACCAGGCTCTTCTTGGGGGCAAGGGGAGATTCTCACTCTTCATCTGTGTTGTGAGAAAACCCCAGCAAGTTCCATGATATTAAATCCAGGTCTGCATTGGCCCCGGGCAGGAGTGTAACGTCCTCAGCCCTGCGTCCCTATGTCTTGTGTGTTTGTGCACTTGCCGTTCTTAACCGGTGTGCTAGAAGGGGGACCCTGCCGTCTTCTGGTGGATGTGTGCGGGATCCCTCTGTCCGCACCTCCTGGGGGAAGGGCCGCTGCCATCTGGCCCCGTGGCCTGTGGGAGCCGTGCTCGGGTGGGTCCACGCCAGGCATGGATGGGAGCTCGGAACTTTCTGTCGTGTTTCTTCAGTACCGCGGATTTGCAGTGGACTCCTCCTCGCCGTGAGCACCCCGAGTCCCGTGAAGAGTCTGTGGCCAGGGACTGCTGGCAGCGCCGCCCCACAGCTACGGTCAGCCTTACGCCCTGTCACCTCCAAGTGGGAGTGAAGTTTCAGAACAAGCAAAGAGCTCTATTTTTAGAAGAAATGTGTTACACTCAGAAATGATGAAAACAAATCTTATATTAAAAAGGCAAAGATGCTGGAGACTGTGCCCATTTTTTTACATGCTCTCACTCACATCTGGTCCCAGCGCCCTCCTAGGGACCTTGTTGCTCCATCCTGTCCTGTCGGGTGTCCCCTGACATCTGGCAGCTTGGGTGTGTCTCAGGCCAGTTAAGGGAGTATTAGAGGCACTTTCTAAATCTGAAATTTTTAGATGCCATAGATTATATTTAAATCAATTTCCTTTTTTTTAAAGTAAGCTCTACGCCTAATGTGGGGCTCACACTCATGACCCCGAGATCAAGAGTCACGTGCTCTACAGACTGAGCCAGCCAGGTGCCCCCAATTTCCTTTTTTTGTTTTTAAGATTTTATTCATTTGAGAGAGCACACAAGCACGGGGAGAGGAAAAAGCAGACTTCCTGCTGAGCAGGGAGCCCGATGAGGGGCTCGATCCCAGGACCTGGAGATCTTGACCTGAGCCAAAAGCAGATGCTTAACCATCTGAGCCACCCAGGCGCCCCTCCCCAGATTTCGTTTTTAAGTTTTTCCTTTAGTGACCCTTTTTCTATCATAGCATCAATAATAGAAGTCCCAAAAGCAGTGAAAGAAAGCGAGCAATAAAAGTGATTTAGACATGAGATGTATCTGAAACCTCTGAATCCCTTTGGAGGTGGAAACTCACTTGCCCCGTAGGAAAGCGAAGCCACAGAGGGAAATGTTGGCTTCAGTGTGGCGTAAACCTGGAGCTGATTAGAGCAGCTTGAAGGGAAGCCTGGGTGGTTAAAGACCTGAGAACATTATTTCAAGCTGGACCCACTGTGGGCACGGACATGCCTCTTGTTTTCCCAGGGAACTGCAGAGGGGGGAGTTGCCAGAAGTTAGAAGACAGGAAGACAAATCAGACTTCTTCGTTAGAATTGAATGTTGTCAAGGACTCCAGATGCTCAGATTGTGATCTCTCCTCCCCCCAGGATTTGCTTTGGGTCAAAGAGCCTTAGGAAGCTGATTTTGTTTTTATTTTATTTATTTATTTTTAAAGGTTTTTTATTTATTTGAGAGAGAGAGAGGGAGAAGCAGACTCTCCACTGAGCAGGGACCCGACTTGGGGCTCGATCCCAGGACTCTAGGATCATGACCTGAGCCAAAGGCAGACGTTTAACCGACTGAGCCACCCAGGCGCCCCCTGATTTTGTTTCTAAATAGAAAGTTTTAACATCTGTGCCATACAAGTCAGTGGTTATCCTCCCTCCCTCTGAAGATACAGCACAGATGACCTGAGCATGAGGTCCTGGAATTTGGTCCCGAAGGCTTAAGACTGTGTCCCTGATGGGCTGAGGGAGCCCTGGGGGTCTTTATCCTTTTCCTTGCCCTCTTCCTGGCTCCCCAGCTTGGCAACAGCAGGCTGTGGACTAGGTTCTGCGCTTCCCTTGCCCCATTCTCTGTGCCCACCGGCTGCAGCCACAGCTGGGTCAGGCCCCCAGCGGCAGGCCCCCATGCAGGCAGCCCTCTAGCCTGTCTGAGCCGGTGGCTCCTTCTGCCCTCATATGTCTTGCTCATGGCCCTTCCTACCCCTCCTCTTTTAGAGTGCCGGCATCAGTGGGGAGGTGGAATCCAGAGTCAGTCATTCTGATTGACCTTTCCTAAGCTTTTCCTTTCTGTGGCCACACTAGAAATTCCCTTCCTCCTGGTGTCCCTGGGAGCTGCTGTGCATGGTAGTGGCTGTGGTCAGCCAGTGAGGCTGTTAACAAGGCATGTTTAGTATTAAGAGCATGTGTTTACACAAGAAGACAGCCCTGGCAGGGCCAAGGTCTCTGGTTAGCTTGCACATCCCTTCACATAGGATCCCTGGACATTAAACAGGCTGTCATGGGAGACTGCGCCAAAAGCAGGACCCCATCATGTCCTCAGGCCAGGGAGCAGTGCTCACGACCATGGGTTCAGAGTCGAGCCCTGGGCCGCTCCTCGGGCCAGCACGTTTTGCTGGGTAGATGGACAGAACAAAGTGCCAGTAGCCACACAGTGGAACAAGAGTGCGGTCTTGAGGTGTAAGTGATGGATGCGGGTACTCACTTTGCTTCACGTGCTCATTCCTGCAGTTGGGGCTCCCATCCCTCCCCGGGATGAGCTACGCTTGCTCAGCAGGCTTGGACCCTACAAGAGGCTTCTGTCTCCCCAATCCAGGGAGGAGGAGAAGCTTACTTCGGGCTCTGCCTTACAGCTGCCGTGCTAAGGGCTTTTATTTTCCTGTCTGTTGAGTGGTGGTGGTCTTGACTTGCAGAAACATGAGTGGTGAAAATTACCAGGAGATAATGCTGAACATCAGATTGAAAGACATAATGTGGCCAAGTTTGTGGCCTCTAACCCTGTTGGTTCTGTTTGGAAAAACGGAGCGTTGAGGCAGCTGGGGCCAGAGGGGCTCTGACCACTCCATTTCCTGGGTGTTTTCTCCTTTCCATGTGCGTTGTTTCGAGGTACTGTCTCTGGTTTTACTTTACGCTGAGAATTCTTGGATTCCCCTGTTGGAAATGAAACACTGACAGGCTTCGTTCCATCTCCTTCCTCTGGTGGCAGCCTGAGCTTTTCACTGGCCGGGAGGTGACGGCCTGTGGTGGTCGCGCGCCCTGCCCCTGCCACGGCTGGAGACCATCCCGATCTCTCCTCCCACTGAGGTGATGGCCTCACCCCCTCGTTGGGGGATGCTTGACCCTGGGGACTGCCGAGGTAGGGGCTGCACGGATTTTGCACACTTGGCATCATTAATCCCCAAAGCTAGCCAATCATGGAATTCTAAACACGTTGCTGTGCAGCCTTCACAAGCTTGGACCCTTCAGAGGTCTAGGAAAACACCCAAAGATAGCAAAAATATGTGTTGGGTCTAATTTTATTTCTAAGACAGTTGTTGCTACAGAAGAGACGGAAACCAGGTTTAGCTGTAAAATTTATCGATGTTCCGAAGCAGAGAGAGAGATTGGATGCTGCCTGCATCCTGACAGCAGCGGCTGGAAGAATCGAGCCTGTCGGTCCGCTGGCTGTGAGAGGCGGGGCGCGGGCGGGGCTGCGCGAGGGGCGAGCACGGCCCCCCACCCCCGCCGCAGGCCGGCTCTGCGGTGTTCACCGTGTTACTAGCCAGTATAGGGTGGATGAAGTGTGATCTCAGATGACGAATACGGATGGAGTACTCATGAGAACCTTTTGTCTGAACTTTCCGAGCTCTTACGGGACTGTGAGCTCAGCATCTAAGGTTTGGTTTTTATTTTTGTTTTGGGGCAGGATTGTGACAGCCCATCGGTCCGATGAGCTGCTCCCTGCTGGTGCTAAGACCCGCAGGAAATGCCGAGCAGGCGGGGCCCTGCCTTCCCCTTGGCCGTGCCCTCTGTGGGGATTTTCACAGTGTTGGAAGGGGGAGCCTGGCTTCACGGTAGTCCCCATTTTCGGCAGATGGTTTCTTCACGTCCACTAACTGCAGCATGTGTCCTCATGCTCAGTCTGTGGACTGAGGAGTCACTGGACTCCTCACACTTGGAAAAGAACCACAGCCCTTCTATTCGGCTGAGCTTTTCCCAGGGGTCTTCTGGCAAGAGGCAGGGCAGGTACGACAGGCAGGTGACCGGTCCCCGAAAGCTGTGATGTCCGTTAGCTCTGGCTTGTCTGTGGAATGGAGAGGGCGTGGGGGTCCTCACCCAGAAAAGGGGCATCTGCTTCTCTGTGAGAAGGAAAATGTGCAAAGGGTTTACTTAGTACCTAAGAGGCACCTGACTGACAAATAGGAATTTCCCTCCCTTCACTGCCCCCCCTCCCCGCCTCTGGGTCGGTGCTGGCATTAGAACACGTGCTTCTCCGCCCAGTGCCGCCTGTGGCGGGCGCGACATCCTGGCTGGGACCTGGGGCCTCGCGGGGGCAGCTCCTGCCTGGCCAGGACTGAACTAGGGAAGTCTCTCTTCCAGCCGTAGCCCCACAGTGAGCAGCTCTCCCCGGGGACAGGGGGACAGCGGGAGCCCAGTGTCCAGGAGGCGGGGCTGCTGTGCGGGGAGTTGGTGGGGCCCGTTCCGCTGACACCCAGCGCCCTCCCTTCCCTCAGCGCGCCCCCACCGCCTTTCTCTGCCGCCCTCCCCAGGCCAGGCCCTGCAGGGTCTAAACAGCATCACCAGGACAACAAGCCGAGTCCACTGAGCTGCCCACGTGCTTCCAATTTCCTGGCTGTAAAGACTGATTAGGAAGCGTTGCTCCTCAGCCACGAAGACTGTTATTAGTTCTTTGGGTTTTTTTTGTTTTTTTAAAGATTTTATTTATTTATTTGAGAGAGAGAATGAGAGAGAGAGCACATGAGAGGGGGGAGGATCAGAGGGAGAAGCAGACCCCCTGCTAAGCAAGGAGTCTGATATGGGACTCGATCCCGGGACTCCAGGATCATGACCTGAGCCGAAGGCAGTCGCTTAACCAATTGAGCCACCCAGGTGCCCAGTTCTTTGTTTTATAAGCCTTTTCCTTCCTCAGACCGGTGACCGGGGCTCAGTGCAGGTCAGCCCCTGCCGCTTCTGTACGACCCGGGTGACTCCCTCCCGCGGCTGAGCTCGCGAGTGCCGCGATGGCCTGGCCGCCGCCCGCAGACCTGAACTTCACAGGAGGGCCCAGAGCCCTTGGGCGACCGGGAGACCGGAAGGCCCAGCAGCTCCTGAGGCTGTGTGGTGGCCCAGAGACGCGGCTGTCCCGGCTCTGGTCCCGCAGCGGGACTGGGCCAGCCGCTGTGCCCCAAGGCTAGGGAAAGGGAGTCACTCCTAGAGGGGAACAGCCTTGACCTTGTCCTCTCAGGCAGACTTGGGACTTGAGGACTCCTGAGGTCACCCCGTAATCCTCTGTCTTACCGTCTAGTGTGGGGGACCCTGATCTCCTGACAGTAGGGTGGGTTGGTTGGTTGGTTGGTTTGAATTGCTTCCTCTATACTCTCCCTGTAAAAGCCCCAAAAGGAATAACCAGCTCCTTTTCCTGCCTTTTGTGCTCTAGATAGGCAAGCCGTGGTAGCTTAAGCCCTGGTGTGCTATGCAAGCTGCCACCCTTCGCCTAGCTGCACACGTGCATGGCGGCCTTGGGGCCGGCAGCTCGGCGGCTTTCAGTCCCGATCACTCGCCTGCTCTGGCCCCCCACCCCATGAGCTGTGAGTGGCCCGCATCGGCCTGGCTACCAGCTCCAGGCTAGGGGGTGTGAGAAGCTGCTACTTGGAGTCCTAGCTGGCATGGTGCCGGCGGGGGACCCTGGACCAGTGGCCTCAACCTCCCACTCCACAGAGGAGGAAGCCAGTGTCGGGCGAGGGGAGGCCCCAGGGGCAGGACAGGGAGCCAGGCCTGGGCTTCCTGCCTGGTTCAAAAGGAGGAGATGTGGCAGGGCGAGGCCTGGGAAGGATGAAAGTTGCTGCACGCTGTCCAGCTTCTAGGCCAGGGCTGTTTGGTGCAGTTGTCCAGTTAACCCTTGAAAAGCATGGGTCCACTTATATGGGGCTTGCTTTTTTTTTTTTTTTTTATAAATTTTTTGTAAATACAGTCCAATGCTGTAAATATATTTTTTCTTCCTTACGATTTTCTTAATGACATCTTTTCTCTAGCTTTCTTCATTGTGGGAATACAGTTTATAATACGTATCGCACACAGAAGATGTATTGAGCAACCATTTCTGTTACTGGTAAGGCTTCTGGTCAACAGTAGGCTGTTAGTAGTTAAGTTTGGGGAGAGTCAAAAGTTATACAGAGATTTTCAACTGCATGGGGAGGTCGGCGCCCCAACCCCCACATTGTTCAAGGGTCAACTTAGTGTGAGCCACAAATGCAAGCCCAAGCCACATGTGTAATTTTAAGTTTTCGAGTAGCCACATTTTAAAAAAAGTAAAAAGCAGATGAAATTGATTTTTAAAAGTATATTTCATTTAACACAGTGTATCCAAAATATTGTGGCTTTAATCAAGATAAAAAAAAAATCACTGATGAGGTATTTCACATCTTTTTTTCCACACTGAGTCTTTGAGTTCCAACGACTGAAATCTTGTGGCTGCCGTGTGGGACCGTGCAGGTCTCCACGGAGGCTCTGTCCCATCCTGGCCACCTAAATGACCCTTGTCTTTCTCACATATTTCTTTGTCCCTCTCCCTTCTCCTGTGCTTTGGTCTTGGGGGTCAGAGTCACTGCCATGTGACTAGGAGCATCTCCCAGACGAGGCTGTTCCTGCCGGCTGCATGTCAGCCCCTATCTGGGGCACTGGGGCCTGATTTGATTCGGCATTAGACAGTCACGCCAGGAATTCAACTCTTGTTTTTCTTGCCATGAATCAGTTAGCCCTAATCTCGGGCGTGTGAGAGCCTCCTGTGCCGCTTATTTATTTCCAGGAGAGCCTCTGCAGACAGGAGACAGAGCTCAACCGTTCCAAATCTCAGTCTGGTTGCCTTTTGCCTCCTGCCATCAGCAGCCGGGGTCTGCATCCCTCTACCCTGTCCAGCTTCGAGGGGGTGGGGGGGCTCCCCTTGCTGCTCCTCTCCCGGGGCTGGAGTCTAGACATCTTTTTCCCCTGGGCCCCCTACCTCCAATGACCACCACCTCCCAGGAAGGAGCCCTGAGTTCTCAGGGAGGCAGGCCAGGGGGCTGAGGGCTGCAGTCTCCTGCCTCCCGTCTTGGCTCTCCTGGGCTCGTCCAATCTCAAAGATAAGGAAGTGAGCTCTGTGGTTGGAGATGAGAGGCTGGCGCATTCAGGGCTGGCTCCTGGATCCTGCAGTCATTTAAACAATGGCCCCTTTCTGAGGACAGTTGATTGCAGGCCTGCTAGTAGTGGTTCAAAGAAAATTGTCACCCAGCAATAACATGGAGGAGAGGCTGGGGTGGGGGTGCATGGCCTCTAGGCCTGGCCTTCCATCTCTGGCTCCAGCTCACACTCAACCGGGAGCGGAGCTTTGGATACCCTCAGCTTCCTTGTTGCTACTTGTCAAGGCCCCCTGGTGCCCTCCTCACCCCCGCTGTCCCCCTAGCCCCTCCCCTGCCAGGATGGGTGACTCCTGTGTCCCCTTTCCAGGACCAGGTTCAGTGGCTTGTCCATGAGACGCAGCCAAAAGGGACTCCAACCTCTTCTGTCCCACTTGGGCATGTGACCAGTCTCAGTTGTCCCCCTGTCCTCTCTAGTTGGAGGGATCCATCTCTACGTCTTCTCTGTTTTCTGCCCTCAGCTAGGCTTTACCAGAATGTCCCCCATGCCCCGAAGCAAGCATGGCCGCATCCCTCCTCTTTGCTACTCGTCCAGCCCGCCCTCCACCAACGCTGTCATGGTTCCAGGGAGTGGCGCTCTGGCTGTAGAAGGATTCTTCGACTTGGGCAGTGAAAGGAGGGCCTGCAAATAGGGGAGCACCGCAGGAGAAGGCAGCTAGCAAGATGGCCTGCCTGGCACTCGATGCAAGGAAGAGGCCAATAAACTGGCACCATGTCCACCCCATCTGACTCCAGAAAAGCCACGAGGGGCCCCTTCTGGGGGACCGAGTGAGGAGAGGCCGGCAGCAAAACCCAAGTACAGTGGGTTCCCAGGGGGCTCAGCCAGACCCTAGGCTCAGCAGCACCTGGAGGCTAATGCTGGGGGTCCTGGGGCAAGGGGCGCAGGGGGCATCCCAGCCCCTCCGGAGCTGGTCTGAGACTCTTCGGAGGATCCCAGAGCCACAGACAGGATGACACTGAGCCAGCCAGGAAGGTCAGGCAGTGGGACTGTGGGGTTGTCGTCTGGGGAGGCGACTGGGTGGTGGCCGCTTTTAAAATGTACCTTGTGCCAGTTGTCTGGGGTGAATGCCCCCTGTGGCTGCCCCATAGTGGTGATGGGGAGCAGCGCCCCCTCTGCCGGGGGTGGGGTGAGAGCTGTGGGTGGGGGCATGCCTGATCGCCTGATGGCCAGGTGCCCTGTGCTGCCTGAGCTCTGAGGCCGGGCCTCTGTCCATCTGCAGCCCTGTCCCTCCGGGGCCCGGCTCTTTTCCCGTCTGGGTGTGATCTCTGCCGGTTCCCTCTGGGTGTGTGGGTGTAACAAGTCCGAACCTTCTCTGGGAGTCGGGCAGGCTCGGGCGCCCCGCCCTCTGGGCTGTGCCCTTTCCTCCCCGAACTGGTTGTGCAGGAGCAGCCGAGTGTGGGCAGTGTGGGTGCGTGGGTGGCAGCCCGGCCCACGCTCGCTCGCTGCCTCAGCTGCGGGGAGGGGCCTCCCAGAAACCGCCTTCCCGGTGCCCGGCCACCCCACCTCACCAGAGCCCAGCCAAGCAGCCAGCAAGGACACACGCCTGCTGCCCGCCACCTGCCTGCACCGGCCGAGCCCAGCCTGCTCCGGCACCTGCCTTTACGACCATGTTCAAGGGTCTGAGCAAAGGCTCCCACGGGAAGGGGTCCCCCAAGGGCTCCCCGGCCAAGGGCTCTCCCAAGGGCTCCCCCAGCAAGCACAGCCGGTGAGTGGGGCCTGGGGCAGCAGGCTGGGGCGGGAGGGGGTGGTGCCAGGCCCAGGTGCCCTAGCCTCCTGGAGATGGCAGCCTGGCATTCAGGACCAGCCCAGTGCTGGCATTTAGTGTCCCCAGGCCAAAAGTCTGGGGGTGGTGGTGGGGTGGACTCTCTCCCAAGCCCAAACGGGGGCCTGGGGCTCCCACATTGTCCAGGGGGCCTGAGGGCCGCAGGCAGGGGTGCTCTGCTGGATGCACACTGCGTGGGGAGGGGCCGGGGGGCCGGGAGACCAGAGTGCTTGGCTCCGTGTCTGTGGCTCTGCCCTCAAAGCTCTGCTTGGGCTGGGCTCACCCTTGGAACCTGGGCCCAGGGTGGGCAGAAGGACTGAGGCCAAGAGGTGGAGGTGGGGTGCCTGGTGCAGGGGGGCGGGGCTGTGCTGCGGTGCCTAAGCTGCAGCTTTCCTCACAAGGCTCTCCCCTCGGGCCTTGAGTTTTGTTACAGTGTCGGGGTGATTCTTGCACCACGTGGGTATGAGGAGAGGGTGCTGTGGGGAAAGGGGAGGGCCCGCGGGCCAGGACATCGCCAGAGCCTCCCTCTGCTCCCCCCGCTCCCCGCCGGACGCAGCCTGGCTCTCGGCAGCCACATGGGCCGCAGACAGACTTGGCTGCTTCCCTCCGTTTCTTCCCTCACCCGCCCCTGCGGGGCGGAGGTGGCAGATGGGAGCAGAGATGAAGGGCTCATTACCCTGATAGGGATCGGACCGGGGCGATGACGCGGAGGCTGGGATTCTGGGCGGACAGGAAGGACAGCAGTTAAGACTCTCACTGTCGTCCCTGGCGCTCCTGGGCCGTGCCCAGGGTGGAGTGTGCCACCCCCGGTGGGAGCAGCCCTCCTAGGAGGCCAGGCCTGAGGACAGGTCGCCCAGGGGTCAGGGGTCAGGACCCACAGCTCCCTGTCCCCAGGTAGGCTCCTAGCCTGGGGCAGCTGGGGGCTCTGTCCACACAGCCAGGTCGGCTCTGGCTGCCGTCCCCCAAACTGGGTTCACTGGTCCCCTGCTGTGCAGTCCATTCAACATATATTTATTGAGCACCTACTGTGTGCCAGGACTGTTGTGGGCACTGAGGTGCCGCCTGACACAGAACCAACAGGTCCTTGCCTTCATGGTGCTTACATCCTAGTGGAATAAACACCAGCACGTATGGCTGCTTCAGAATGCGCTCATTCTCCTAACACAGTAGCACTGTGATGTAGATATTATTAAAGCCCCACTTTACAAGTGAGGGCACAGAGAGTTTAAGTAACTTGCCCAGGGCCACACAGCAGTAGTGCTAGAGAATGATCAGACCCAGGCTGTTTGGCCACAGAGTTCTTTCAGACTGGGTCTTCACTGGCACTGCCCCTCTGCCGGGGCAGGGACGTGGGGGCGGGGTGGGCTCATCCTTCAACCCCTAGTTCAAGGCGCAGCTCAGTGAAGCCTTCCCTTCCCCAGGACTGTAACTTCATAGGGTGCTGTGCTTTTGAACCTTGGACCACTCTACTTTTATTAGGTCTGCTTGGGCCTCTAGGCCCCAGAGAGTGAGCTCAAGCACACAGCAGGCGCCCCATGGAAAGGACCTTGGGGGGCCAGATCAGGCGCATACTCTGCTCCTTGCTGTGTGACCTGGAGCATGTCAGGTCCTAATCTGGTCTTAATCCTCAAATCTGGGCACTGTCAGCGTGCCCCAACAGTCTCTTGGCCTCCCCCGCCCCAGGGCTGTGCAGCTCCTCCAAATGGTTGTTAGCCTGGGCATAGGCAAAGCCTGGGGTGGTGAGGGGGAGACAGGGCTGGGTGGGAGGAGGTTGGGGTGGGGGACAGCCGGTCCAACTGGCCCTCCCCAAAGCCCAGCCGTGCTGAGCCATGATTCACTCCCAAGGAAGTGGCAGGGAGCTGGGTGAGGTTGGGAGCTCACTGCCAGGACAGTTATGTTGGCTTGCTGCATGGTGCCAGGCACACCAGAGACCCCCACTTTCTGAACCCCCAGGTGAGGACAGTGCTCCCCCTGAAGGTTGAGCTGGCTGCCGATCCCCGAGGCCACCCAGCTGGCCCGTCCACCCTCTGCCCACCCCCAGGTCCTAGACGCCTCCCTCCCGGGCAGTGAGCCCAGCTGGAGGACAGGACAGGGCAGAGGAAGACAAGGGACCCCACGCAGGTGGGACAGAGGGGTCTTTTCCAACCATGCTGGCTCTGTCTTCCCCACCCCCCACCGCACCCCAGGGCTGCCACCCAGGAGTTGGCCCTGCTCATCTCCCGCATGCAAGCCAATGCTGACCAGGTGGAGAGGCACATCCTGGAGACCCAGAAGAGACTGCAGCAGGTAAGGCCTCAGCGGCAAGCGGCGGGGAGCAGGGGGGGTGGGGCTTGGGAGGCTCCCTAAAGCCCCAGAGTGCCCACCAGGGACGGCTAAAGTGGGACAGACAACCCTTGTCACTCACCGGTCTTTCCCCAGACACAGTGGGAGAGAGGGTTCAGCTCTCCTTTTCTGTTGGACTCCCAACCTGGTGGGTCAGAGGGGCTTGGGGCGGGGGCGGGTCTCCCCTGTGTCCCTGCACCTGCCCCACAGATGCCCTGGGCTGGGCCCTCTGCCAGCGTGGACACCAAGGTTGGCCGTGCAGCCTGGGGAACTCAGGGTGGGCTCAGGCGGCAATGAGGGGCCGCCGCAGGGATGTCGTCCCCCACCTACAGGACCAGCTGCACAGTGAGCAGAGCCAGGCCCTGCAGCACCAGCAGGAGGTGGGCCGCAGCCTGAAGGAGGCCGAGGTGCTGCTGAAGGACCTCTTCCTGGATGTGGACAAGGCCCGGCGGCTCCAGCACCCGCAGGCCAAGGAGATTGAGAAGGAGTACGTGGGGTGGCAGCCAGGGCCAGGGCTCCAGGACGGAGGCGCGGGGGTTCCAGGGGAGCCCCAGGCCCAGCCCTGACCCGCTGGCCTCCTTGGCAGCATCAAGCAGCTGCACGAGCGGGTGACCCAGGAGTGTGCCCAGTACCGTGTCCTGTATGAGAAGATAGTGCTGCCGCCGGACGTGGGGCCCAGGGTCGACTGGACGCGTGTGCTGGAGCAGAAACAGGTCAGGGCTGTCCTCCATGTCGGAGCCACCTCCAGGAGCTCAAAATCACACCTGGCACAATCAGAGAGCAAAACTGGGCTGTGTGCCATCCGGGGCCTGTTGGTGCACTTGCACCTGGGGAGGGTCTGGGACGGGAGAGAGAAGGGGACACAGTGCAGTCAGGGAAGGCTTCCTGAAGGAAGCGGCATATGAAGAGGCCTCAGAGAGGTGGGAGGGCTTAGTTAGGCTGGGGTGAAATGCTGAGGAGAGGACATTGCAGAAAGAAGAAATAGAGGCTCCAGCCTGGGGTGTGGTGGGAAGTGCGGTTTTCTGGGCAGGCAGGCAAAGCCAGGGCCCCCTGAACATCGGGTGAGGAACTGTGCTTTGATGCCACAACAGAAGGTGCCGTGATGACAGTGAAGGGACAGTTGGGGGGAGGGCATGAGCAGAGGAGGGTGTCACAGGGTCCCAGAGCCAGCGAGAGGTTTCTAGGCAGGAGGTGCCGAGGCCAGGGAGGTAAGGAGGCAGGGAAGAGTAGGAGGATGTTTTAGAGGCTGAGCCCTGCGTTCTGGGGACCAGTAGGAGTCAGGGGCTGCAGTCATGAAGATGCTCAGGCCTCGGCCTGGGCCACTGGAGAATAGTTGTCCCCCAGGGTGAGCTGGCTGCCGATCCCCGAGGCCACCCAGCTGACCCGTCCACCCTCTGCCCAAACGACCAGTTCCACTCCTCCATATGGGGACTCGGGGAGGACGAGGGAGGGCCGCCGCCCCAGCCCTGCGGCTGTGCTGAGCGGCCAGCTCTCCTGCAGAAGCAGGTCTGCGAGGGCCGGTTCGGGCCGGGCATGCCAGAGCTGGAGGAACAGGTCGCCGAGCACAACATCCTGCAGAAGGAGATCGAGGCCTACGGGCAGCAGCTCCGGAACCTCATCGGGCCGGTGGGTGACGTACCTCCAGGCCTGGCCCTCCAGCCCTACCCCCACTGTCTCCCATCTGAGCCTGTGTGGCCCAGCAGGCCCTCTGGGGCAAGGGATGCGGGTGGGGGCACAGTCGGCCCAGGGTGTGGGCGGCCATCTCCCCTGCACCCCGCCTCTCACTGAGCCTGCTTTGTCCCCCACCCCCGCCCCCCCATTGGTCGAGGCAGGACGCAGACACCATCAGGAGCCAGTACCGGGACCTCCTGGTGAGCAAGGGAAGGGCTGGGCTGGGGGGCTGGGCTGGGAGTGGGGCAGGGCCCAGCTGCCTGCACCCTTGGTGTGGGGGGGGGGGGGGGCAGCATTTCTGGGGCAGGCTGACGTGGCCCCCTGCTACTCCTCCTCCCGCTCCATGTCTCGCCGAGCACAGAAGGCGGCCTCGTGGCGCGGGCAGAGCCTGGGCAGCCTGTACACGCACCTGCAGGGCTGCACGCGCCAGCTAAGTGCCCTGGCCCAGCAGCAGCAGAGCATCCTGCAGCAGGACTGGAGCGACCTCCTGGCGGACCCCGAGGGCGTGCGGCGGGAGTACGAGGTGGGTGGGGGAGACTGGGCTTGGGAGGAGGGACAGGGGCATCCTCAGCCTGTCCCCTCCTTGCCCATGCTCCCGACTCTGCCCCCAGCACTTCAAGCAGCACGAGCTGCTGAGCCAGGAGCAGAGCGTGAACCAGTTGGAGGATGATGGGGAGCACATGATGGAGCTGGGGCACCCGGCTGTGGGGCCCATCCAGGTGCGAAGGACAGATCCCGCCCATTGTTGCAGGGACACCTGCTCCCTCAGCTGGTGGAGGTGGGGAGGGGGGCTTCCCAGGGAGGCTGGGGAGAGGGAGACCCGGCCCAGGTCTGGGCAGCAGATGGGGGCACAGGTCTGGGCGAGCATGGCCCAAGGGCTCGGTGCTGCTGTCCGCAGACCCACCAGGAGGCCCTGAAGATGGAGTGGCAGAACTTCCTAAATCTCTGCATCTGCCAGGAGAGCCAGCTGCAGCACGTGGAGGCCTACCGCCGGGTGAGCCTGGGGGCGGGGGCGCAGGGCCAGGCAGGGGAGACCCCCCGGGCCGGGCCATCGAGGGGCCTGGAGAACGCCACAGGATGCGTTCACATGGAGGGAGACAGGGTGCCTCCTAAAAATGGCAGAGCTGTGTCGTTGTGAATAGGTCCCCGAGGGAAAATGATGTCATGTGAGCGTTCGCCACAGGGTGATATAGCTCCCAGGGAGGGTTGGTTCTTAAGGGGGAAAAAAAACCCTTCCTCTTTTTAAGCATTAATCACCAGTATACATCCCTGAAGGATATGTGGCATATCTGTAGTATTACAATTTTATAGAGATGGTAGCAAGATTAAGGAAAAGACGTCCAAAACTCTCCTTAGAAGGGATGATAATGAAAAGAGGGTTGAGAAAAACGGACAAAACACACAACAGGAACTTTTTTTTGGTAATTTCTATCCAAAATGTTTCATATGCTTTGAGAGGGACAAAATCCAAAGAGTTTTATTCTTCCTTTTTAAAAAAATATTTTCGGGGCACCTGGGTGGCTCAGTTGGTTAAGCGACTGCCTTCGGCTCAGGTCATGATCCCGGAGTCCTGGGATCGAGTCCCGCATTGGGCTCCCTGCTCAGCTGGGGGTCTGCTTCTCCCTCTGACCCTATCCCCTCTCATGCTGTTTCTCTCTCTCTCTCTCAAATAAATAAATAAATAAAATCTTTAAAAAAAAATTTTTTTTCGGGGTGCCAGGTGGCTCAGTCGTTAAGCGTCTGCCTTCGGCTCAGGTCGTGATCCCAGGGTCCTGGGATTGAGCCCCGCATCGGGGTCCGTGCTCTGCAGGGAGCCTGCTTCTCCCTCTGCCACTCCCCCTGCTTGTGTTCCCTCTCTCACTGTGTCTCTGTCAAATAAATAAATAAAATCTTTAAAAATATATATATATATTTTCCTACGTCACCACCCTACCATTATCACGCCTGTGGACAGGAATTCCGTAGCATCACGGAGCTGCGCGATGTTTATTTTTTTTTTTTATGTTATGTTAATCTCCATACACTACATCATTAGTTTTTGATGTAGTGTTCCATGATTCATTGTTGGCATATAACACCCAGTGCTCCATGCAGAACGTGCCCTCTTTAATACCCATCACCAGGCTAACCTATCCTCCCACACCCCTCCCCTCTAGAACCCTCAGTTTGTTTTTCAGAGTCCATCATCTCTCATGGTTTGTCTCCCCCTCCGATTTCCCCCCCTTCATTCTTCCCCTCCTGCTATCTTCTTTTTTTTTCCTGGCTGGGATCGGGGGTGGGTGCCTAGGTGTCGGGATCTGAAGCAGATCTGAGGCAAATAATACATTATATGTGGGATGTTTCTTTAGAGCGTGCTCCCAGCTTCCACTCCAGCCCCGACGCCCTGGCACCCACCCCCGATCCCAGCCAGGACGACTGCAGGTGCTGGAGTGAGCCCGAGAGCCCCGCCTCCACCTGGGCGGGAAGGACAGAAGCCAAGCTGTTTTATAACACTAAACACTAAAACAAGCTCAGTGGGCCCAAAATGCACCATTTGCAGAGCACTCCAGCGGAAAAGGCCCCACGGCCTGGAGAGCCGACAGTGCCAGGGCCTGTGACAATTTGCGTTTAGCTGGCTTGCAGGGTTGGTGGGCAGTGGGCTGCCACGGGCGCTGCCCCTGACTGCCCACGACCTCAGTTCCAGGAAGAGGCCGACTCGGTCAGCCAAACCCTGGCAAAGCTGAACTCCAGCCTGGACGCCCAGTACAGCCCAGCCTCAGGGGCGCCCCCTGGTGCCCCCACAGAGCTGCTGCAGCAGCTGGAGGTGAGCGCGCCCCCCGGGCCCCCCCACCCCAGGCCACCTGCATCCTACTCCGGGGATTGGGGCTGGCCCCTGTGTCTGGGCCTCACCCTTCCCAGGGGCTTAGTCCTGCCCTGAGCAGCCCCTCCAGCCCAACCAGCAGATTTCAGAATCCTGGGCCTCCTGGAGGGGCTTCTTTTACTTTCCTGACTTAGAGACCCTGTCTCCATGTAGACCAGACCCCTGGCTCTCATGGGGGGAGGGGAGGTGTGGGGCAGGCGTCAAGGGCAGCCTGGGACCCCACAGGCAGAGAAGAAGCAGCTGGCTGTCGCTGAGAAGACCATTAGGGACCTGCAGTGGCGTAGCCAACAGGTGGCCCCTCTGCAGCAGCGCAGGAACCCGCCCCAGCAGCCCCTGCATGTGGACAGCATCTGCGACTGGGACTCAGGAGAAGTATGGGCTCGGCCCGCACATCCCCACCCTGCCCCAGCCCTACCCCTCTCCAAGCCCTGCCCCGCCTCTGGCCCGTCCCTGCCCCTACCCCATCTGGGCCTTCATTCCTTCCCTATTCCCTGCCCTGAGCCTCCACGACACCCCCCGCACCCCCGTCCCCCAGGTGCAGCTGCAGCGGGGTGAGCGGTATTTGCTGTTGGACAACACTGACCAGCACACCTGGGTCGTTCAAGGCCCAGGTGGGGAGACCAAACGTGCGCCAGCCGCCTGCTTCTGCATCCCAGCTCCGGACCCTGAAGCCGTGGCCATGGCCTCCAAGTGGGTCTGCCGGGGGATCCTCAGGGGCAGGAGGCAGGCTGTGGGCCCAGACCAGGTCCTGTGGTGTTTGAGGCCATGGCCTGGCCTTCTCCTGGACCCATGACTCCTGGGGTGGGTGCGGGGTTTGGAGAGAGAGGAGAGACATCCTTGTCTGATCTCCTCCTCGTTCTAGGCTGGCCTCGGAGCTGCAGGGCCTGAAGCAGAAATTGGGCACAGTCCAGAGCCACCTGACGGCCAGTGCTGAGCGGCCCTTAAAGACTGGCCAGCAGGGTACTGAGGGTTGGCCGGGGACTTGGGGGGTTTGTTGGCCACCATTGGGGGGGTTGCGATGGGCAGGGGGTGGCTCTGGATTAGGGACTTCTGCTAGGGGATTCCATCTCTTGGGTCGGCAAGCACCGAGCTTTGTCTCTCCCCTGGTTAGGCCCTGCCCGCCGTCCCCCTCCCTTCCTATCCCACACAGGATGCTCTGGGGGCCCCCAGGGAAGAGCTGCTCCTCAGGCAGATGGGCAGATGGGAGGTAGGCCCTGGACCCTCACGGCACCCTATGCCCCCAGCTCCCACTGGCTCAGCCCCAGGAGACCCACAGGCCCAGAAGCTCCTGACACAGATGACTCGGCTGGATGGAGACCTGAAGCAGATAGAGAAGCAGGTGCTGGCCTGGGCCCGGGCCCCGCTGAGCCGCACGACACCACTGGAGGACCTGGAGGGCCGCATCCAAAGCCACAAGGTGGGTGGGTGAGCGAGGACAGCAGGGATAAGAAACGGGCCTGCGCATGAACTAAGGATGAAGCAAGTGTGGGAGCAGCCGCAAGGACCCAAGGCAGAGGAAGGGAGTGGACAGTCTGGGACTCAAGCAAGCTGCTTCCCATCCTGGCTCCTCCCCTGACCAGCTCTGTGATCTTGGGAAGTCACTTAACCTCTCATCACTGAAAACAGACACAATAATACCCAACTCGTCTGGATGAAGTCTACTAAGGCCCGGGAAGGTTCTAGAGGGGCAGGGCCCAGAATAAGAGCCCTGTATGCCACACTGGGGAGGCGTTCTGACCAGGGTCCCGAGAGCAGCAAGGAAGCCTGAGCGTCTTCGGGGTGATTTCTCCTGGAGGCAGGTGGGGGCGCCTCCCTGGCCAGGTTGCAGTATGTGAACACCATCACAAAGAACTCATCCTCCGTCCCTCCCCACACCTGGGGGGGTGCAGTTTGGGTTATGTCCTTCCCAACCAGTTTCTAGTCAAATGTATCCTTTGGGTTTGGTTTTTAAATGTCTTGAGTCATGTCCTTACACATCATCGTGCAGCTTGTTGTCTGCTCCATCTTGTCCCGTAGGGATGAGGACATAGCGTTTCCCGGGTCAGGGGCCCGGGGCGGGATGAGTGGGAGCTGTTGCAGGTTGGGTCTGCTCTGAGCCGGTGTGCTGGGCGTTTCTGAGGAAGTGTCATGGGGAGAAGAGCAGGGGGAGGAGGCAGGGGCAGGAGGAGGACGAGGGCTATAATGCCACCTCAGGGGACACCACCTCCACCCGGAGGCTCTGCGGCCGACAGGAGGCTGGGCCATACAGCCATGTGGGCAGGTCACTGGTTAGGACGGCACGGGGACCTGGCAGCCCCCAGTGCATCCTTGAGTCTTGAAGTCACCGCTTTTCCGACATCAGGCTGGGGCCACAGGAAGCCCAGTGAGACCGGAGGCAGGCAGTGCGCCGTCCATAGTCCAGCACCGACGGCTTGCAGGACGGATGAGGGAATGAGGAGGAGCAGAATAACCCCACGTGGACAGAGCTAGGGCTCTGCCACCCGACCTGGGGCGATGGGGCAGGGAACTGACGTTTTGTGCAGGGCACAGAGACACAGGGTCACGCTGCCTCCTCCCATCGTTCTTCAGAGGAGGAGACTGGGGCTCAGCCAGGCTGCCCAGGGTCCTCCACATGCGGACTCTCGGGGCCAGGACTGTCCCCGGTCTCTAGCCTGTGCCCAGGCTCATACCCACCACACACTGAGGCCAGGTGGGCAGGGTCTGGTTGACCTGGCAGGAAGGAGACCTCTGACCCTGCCCCTCCCTACCCCAGGGGACAGCCCAGCAGCTGCAGGTCCTAGGAGCAGAGAAGGAGGCGGCCCAGCAGGAGTGTGAGGCGTTTCTGTCCACCCGGCCTGGGGGCCCCACTGCCCTGCACCTGCCCCTGGCTCTCAACAGTGTCAAGAACAAGTACAGCGACGTGCTGGTTCTCTGCAACCTCTACGGGGAGAAGTGAGTGCTCTGGGGACTGGGGAAGGGGGCAGCTGGGTGGCATCGCTGGGGTGTGGCTGAGGGAGGGCCTGACCTTGGGCCGCCTCGAGACAGAGCCCGAGCTGCCCTGGGCCTGGAGCGCCAGATCCAGGACACGGACAGGGTCATCCGAGGCTTCGAGTCCGCCGTGGCGCAGGAGGCCCCCATCCCCGCTGGCCCGGGGGCGCTGCAGGACAGGGTCAGCGAGCTGCAGGTGAGGGGCCGGGCGGCCTCCTGGTGGGAGGGGGCATGGCACCACGCATTCACGGGCGGGTGGGTCTCATGGTGACTCGTGGAACCATGAGGGTGCATGGCGCCGTGTCCCCTCCTCCCAGCGCCTGCGGAAGGAGCTGCTGGAACAGCAGGCCTGTGTGCTGGGGCTGCTTCGGGAGCTGAAGGCCACCGAGCATGCGTGCAGCACCCTGCAGAACAACTTGCAGGAGTTCTGCCAAGACCTGCCTCGCCAGCAGCGCCAGGCGCGGGCCCTCACCGACCGCTACCATGCTGTGGGGGACCAGCTGGACCTACGGTGAGTGGCTGGGCCACTGGGGCTTGAGGCACGCCCCCACGTGCCCAGCAGCTAAGCCGTGTGACCTCAGACTGGTGACTTGGCCTCTCTGAGGCTAGTTTCCTCGCCTCTAAAACGGGATGATAACAGTAGCCGTCTCCCAGGGTGAGCCTACCTACCTCCCTGGCCGAGACGGTCTGGCCCATCCCTGAATGCCCAGCTCCAGCACAGGGCCAGAGTGAGGGGGATCAGCCTGGTGGGTCACTCGGGCCTTCTGACTCGTCCCGGGGAGGGAGGCACTCACCAGCCTCCTCCGTGCACCCCTCACCTGCCGCAGAGGGCAGAGCTCACCTCTGCTCCGGGCCTGCTCCTCCCGCAGGGAGAAGATGTTGCAAGATGTCGGCCTCACCTACCAGCAGTTCAAGAACTGTACGGACAACTTGAGCTTCTGGCTGGAGCACCTGCCCCGCAACCAGGTGCGGCCCAGCGATGGGCCCAGCCAGATCGCCTACAAGCTGCAGGTGCAGAAGGTGAGGAGCTGGGGCTGCAGGTGACCTGGGGACAGGTCAGGCCCTTGACCTCCCCACGGGTACAGCTGCCTGGGCACATGTGGCCCCTTAGTGGCCAGTGTTCTAAGAGACCTCAAAGCTCAGAACTCAGGCCTTCTGGAGGACCATCAACCACCCCCCCACACCCTCAATGCTCCACCTGGCCCACAGAAACAGCAAGGCCGTCTCCATCTGGGGGTTCCAACTCCTACCGCATCCTTTTCCTCATCCTTGCCAATCCCTGGCTATGCACTGGCAATGAACCAGAGGCTGCGGGTACAGCCTGCTCTCAGGCACCCCACAGTCTGGTGCCTCGCAGGCCATGACGCTGGTAACTGGTCTGGTGGAGAGCCCACAGCAGGACACGTGGCAGCAGGACAAGTGGTCTGGAAGGCAAGGGCCTGGGGCTGCAGGAGGATGACAGTGTCTAGGGTGAGAGTAAGGGAGTAATGCCAGGAAGGTGGCTTGGGACAGACATTCTTAGAGCTGCCTGCAGATTAGAATCATCCAGGGGGCTTTTAAAACATCCCTGTAGAGGCGCCTGGGTGACTCAGTCAGTTGGGCATCTGCCTTCAGCTCAGGTCATGATCCCGGGTCCTGGGATCGAGCCTGCATGGGGCTCCCTGCTCAGTGGAGAGCCAACTTCTCCCTCCGCCTCTGCCCCTTCCCCTGCTTGTGCTCTCTCTCAAATAAATAAGATCTTTTTTAAAAAATTAAAAAAAAAAAAAAAGAAAACCAGCATCCCTGTACCAGAACCCCACTCCAGACTGATTAAATTGGAATTGCTGGGACCAGAACATCAGTACTCTTTTTTAAAGTTCCCACAAGTGAATAAAGGGGCAGCCAGGCTTAAGAACAGTTGGGACAGAGCAGTGGTTCTCAGGGGGTGGTCCCTGGACCAGCAGCCCCAGCATCAGGGAGACACTTAGACGTGCAAATTCTCAGGCCCCAACCCGGATCTGCCCAGAGGCTCTGGGGGTGGGGCCTCAAATCTGTTTTAAGGAGCTCTCTAGATGGTTGTGAAGCACAGCACTGGGTGAGAACCTCCCTGCTAGAACAGGAGTCTGAGGGTCACTAGGCAGAAGGAAGGGACTGTGCCAAAGAGAGGAAGGAAGATTTCCTGGAGAGAATCCTGCCTGGAAAGGCAGTTTCCCAGGCGACCTCCCGCCCCTGTGGGGTGCTGGTGGCGCCCCAAGGCCCCTGCGGGGGAGACTGGGTGAGTGGCATTTGCTGACCTCCCCTGACTCTCACTTCCTTCCTGGCAGAGGCTGCAGCAGGAGGTCCAGGGCCGAGAGCAGGACAGGGCCATGGTGTCCCGCCTCTCCCAGGACCTGCAGGCAGCTCTCCAGGTGAGCACTTTCCCTCCTCTCCCCTCCCTCCTTCTGCCAGTCCCCTGCTCTCCCAGCCCCAGAGGTCCCCACTGACCGAGAGCCTGTTGTCCTTCCCTCCCTGCTCAGGACTACGAGCTGCAGGCGGCCACCTACCACTGCTCCCTGGAGACCACCCAGGCAGGCTCAGCCCCCAAGAGACCCCGCGTGGCTCCCCTGCAGGAGAGCATCCAGGCGCAGGTGAGATGGGACAGACCCGGCGGGGCTCGGCATCCCCCAGCACCAGCTCTGCAGGTGCCACGCCGGAGCTGACCCTGCCGTCGCTCTGCCTCCCTTCGGCCTCTCTAGGAGAAGAGGCTGACAAAGGCCTACACCGAGCTCACAGCTGCACACCAGTGGCAGCTGCACCAGCTGGAATTTGCCAGAAGGATGCTGGAGAAGGTGTGGCGACAACACCATTCTGTCCCTGTGCCAGGCGGCCTGGGCTGCTCCTTGACCCGAACCCTCTTCCCTTCCTCCTCGCCCTGCAGCCTGCGGCCCCAGGGCAGGCTCCACGGCCCGAGGGGGGCAGCTCCTCGCCTCCCACTCCACCCCCTCACCCCCCCAGCAGCTCTTCCAGGCTGGTATCCATCTCAGAGTCAGGCCCCGGAGACATCATTCAGGGCAGGCACAGCTTCACCACTGGGCGGTCTGCTGGTGGGGACAGGAGAAAATCCCCATGTCTTCAGCCCTCAGACCAGCCACAACGGGCGAGAGGCCACCCAGATCTCCATGCCTGGGGCGCCAGGAGACAGAAGCCCTCTATGACGCTTGGTGTCCGGCTGAGGGACTTGCCAGCTTTCTCCTACCCAGAGGAGTACCCCAGAGGAGCGTGGGCCCATATCCGGGAGCCTGGATGGAAGGGGAGGGGGAGGGAGAAAGGTTTGGAAAGGAGACCTGTCCTGTTTGCACGTTCTAGTGCAAACCCCGCCTGAACGCTGCCTTGCATCCTAACATCGTGGGGCTGAGGGGTCCTCTCAAAATCCTGCATCCAAGCACCTCAGGTCTGTAGCTCCCACTCCTGGGACCTACCAGAAGTCTCAGGAAGCAGGGAGGGGTCTCTGATCTCAGGGTGGGGTGGGGCTGGTGGAAATGGGGCTCATCCCTTTCCTCGCCCTCTGCTCCAGTACTCTTCCCTTCTTCCTCTCCCTCTGCAGAAGGAGCTCAGTGAGGATATCCAGGTGACCCATGACACATGGCAGGGGTCTGAGGGCCCGGCCAGAGCAGGGAGGGAGTCCGAGGCCCTGAAGTCCCAGCTGGAGGAGGAGAGGAAGCGGGTCGCACAGGTGCAACAGGAGCTGGAGGAGCACAGGAACCAGCTGCTGCAGCTGAGGACACAGCGGCCCTTGGAGAGGCTGGAAGAGAAGGAAGTGGTGGAGTTCTACCGGGACCCCCAGCTGGAGAGCAGCCTGTCCAAGGTGAAGTCCCAGGTGGAGGATGAAGGCAAGAAGCGGGCCGGCCTGCAGGCAGACCTGGAGGCGGTGGCCCAGAAGGTCGTCCAGCTGGAGAGCAAGAGGAGGGCCATGCAGCCTCACCTGCTGACCAAGGAGGTCACCCAGATCGAGAGGGACCCCGGCCTGAGGAGCGAGGCGGCCCAGCTCAGCGGCGAGATCCAGCATCTGCGGGGGGAGAACGCCACCGCCTCGGCCCGGCTAGAGGTGCTAAAGAAGGAGCTGCTGGCCCTGGAGCAGAAGGCGCCGAACGTGAAGGAGAAGGTCGTGGTGAAAGAAGTGGTCAAGGTGGAGAAGGACCTGGAAATGCTGAAGGCAGCCCAGGCCCTGAGGCGGCAGTTGGAGGAGGACACGGGGCGGAGGAAGGCGGCGGCCGAGGCTGTGGCCAAGCTGCAGTCTCGCATTGAAGACCTAGAGCGCGCGATCAGCGCCGTGGAGCCCAAGGTGATCGTGAAGGAGGTGAAGAAGGTGGAGCAGGACCCAGGCCTTCTCGAAGAGGCGTCCAGGCTGAGGAGCCTCCTGGCAGAGGCCAGGAGCAAGAACGTGACACTGACATGGGAGCTGGAGGACCTGCGTGGCAAGTACAGCGTGGTGGAGAAGCAGAAGCCCAAGGTAGAGCTCCAGGAGCGTGTCCACGAGACCTTCCAGGTGGCTCCCGAGACGCAGCAGGAGATGACGCGGCTCCGGGCCCAGCTGCAGGAGACGGCCAGCAAGAGGAGCCGCGTGGAGCAGGAGGTGGAGGGGCTGCTGCCCGACCTGGCTGCCCTCCGGGCCCAGAAGCCAGCAGTGGAGTACAAGGAGGTGACGCAGGAGGTGGTGAAGCACGAGAGGAGCCCCGAGGTGCTGCGGGAGATCGACCGCCTGAAGGCCCAGCTCAACGAGCTGGTCAACGGCAGCGGGCGGGCCCAGCAGCAGCTCATCCGGCTGCGGGGGGAGCGCGATGAGTGGAAGCGGGAGCGGTCCAAGGTGGAGACCAAGACGGTGAACAAGGAGGTGGTGCGCCACGCGAAGGACCCGGTCCTGGAGAAGGAGGCCGAGCGGCTGCGCCAGGAGGTGCGAGAAGCCGCCCAGAAGAGGCGGGCCGCCGAGGACGTGGTCCACGAGCTGCAGAACAGGTACCTGCTGCTGGAGAGGAGGCGGCCCGAGGAGAAGGTGGTGGTGCAGGAGGTGGTGGTCACTCAGAAGGACCCGAAGCTCCGCGAGGACCACAGCCGGCTGAGCCGGAGCCTGGACGAGGAGGCGGGCCGCCGGCGGCAGCTGGAGCGGGAGGTGCAGCAGCTCCGGGCCGGCGTGCAGGAGCAGGAGAGCCTGCTTAGCTTCCAGGAGGACCGGAGCAAAAAGCTGGCCGTGGAGAGGGAGCTGCGGCAGCTGACCTTGAGGATCCAGGAGCTCGAGAAGCGGCCTCCCGTGGTGCAAGAGAAGATCATCATGGAGGAGGTGGTCAAGCTGGAGAAGGACCCGGCTCTGGAGAAGTCCACGGAAGCCCTGCGGCAGGACCTGGACCAGGAGAAGACCCAGGTAACAGAGTTGCATCGGGAGTGCAAGAACCTGCAGGTCCAGATCGATGTCCTCCAGACCACCAAGTCGCAAGAGAAGACCATCTACAAGGAAGTGATCAGGGTGGAGAAGGACCGGGTGCTGGAGGGCGAGCGGTCCCGGGCGTGGGAGGTGCTTAACAGGGAGCGCTCGGCCCGGCAGAGCCGGGAGGAGGAGGTGCGTCACCTCCGGGAGCGGCTGGACAGGGCCGAGGCGCTGGGGAGGACCTGGGCCCGGGAGGAGGCTGAGCTCCAGAGGGCCCGGGACCAGGCGGACCAGGAGCGCAGGCAGCTGCAGCAGGAGCTGCGGGAGCTGGGGAGGCAGAAGCAACGGAAAGTGCTGCAGCTGCAAGAGGAGGCGCAGCTGCTCACCCAGAAGACAGAGAGCGAGCGGCAGAAGGCCGCTCAGCAGGGCCAGGAGCTCTCGCAGCTCGAGGCGGCCATCCTCCGCGAGAAGGACCAGATCTACGAGAAGGAGAGGACCCTCCGGGACCTCCACGCCAAGGTGAGCAGGGAGGAGCTCAACCAGGAGACCCAGACGCGAGAGACCAACCTTTCCACCAAGATCTCCATCCTCGAACCTGAGACAGGGAAGGACATGTCCCCGTACGAGGCCTACAAGAGGGGCATCATCGATCGAGGCCAGTACCTCCAGCTCCAGGAGCTCGAGTGCGACTGGGAGGAGGTCACCACCTCGGGCCCCTGTGGCGAGGAGTCTGTGCTCCTGGACCGCAAGAGCGGGAAGCAGTACTCCATCGAGGCCGCCCTGCGCTGCCGGCGCATCTCCAAGGAGGAGTACCATCTCTACAAGGACGGCCACCTCCCCATCTCCGAGTTCGCGCTGCTCGTGGCCGGGGAGACCAAGCCCTGCTCCTCGCTCTCCATTGGCTCCATCATCTCCAAGTCCCCGCTCGCCTCCCCAGCCCCCCAGGGCCCCGGCTGCTTCTCTCCCAGCGTCTCCTTCGGGCTCAGCGATGACAGCTTCCCCATTGCTGGCATCTACGACACAACCACAGACAACAAATGCACCATCAAGACGGCCGTGGCCAAGAACATGCTGGACCCCATCACGGGGCAGAAGCTGCTGGAGGCCCAGGCGGCCACAGGGGGCATCGTGGACCTCCTCAGCCGGGAGCGCTACTCCGTGCACAAGGCTGTGGAGAGGGGGCTGATCGAGAACACTTCGACGCAGAGGCTGCTCAACGCCCAGAAGGCCTTCACTGGCATTGAGGATCCCGTCACCAAGAAGAGGCTGTCGGTGGGCGAGGCCATCCAGAAGGGCTGGATGCCGCAGGAGAGCGTGCTCCCCCACATGCAGGTGCAGCACCTGACCGGGGGGCTCATCCACCCCAAGAGGACCGGCCGCATCCCTGTCCCTCAGGCCGTGCTCTCCGGAATGATCAGCGAAGAGCTGGCCCAGCTCCTGCAGGATGAGTCCAGCTACGAGAAGGATCTGACAGACCCCATCTCCAAGGAACGGATGAGCTACAAGGAGGCCATGGGGCGCTGCCGGAGAGACCCCCTGAGCGGCCTGCTCCTGCTCCCGGCCGCGCTGGAGGGGTACCGCTGCTGCCGCCCTGGCTCCCCCCGGGTGCTGCGCTGACGCGGCCAAGCGGTCATGGGGAGCGCGTGTGGGGGGCGGGCGGACGGCAGGCACCCTCACCCCCAGAGCAGCCTAATCCGAGGGGCGGGTCTTCCCTCTGTCTGATCGCGGTGCTATTACTCCAAAGTTTGCGATGGTGGACCCCCTCCCCTAACTCTGCTGCCCAGTCCTTCCCCCGACCCCGAGATCAGCACATCTGTTTTTCCTCCCCGCTCCCCCACCCGGTGCTTCCAATAAACGAATTCTCCCAGCGTCTAGTTTGAGTTTGGGAACACAGAATTGATTTGTCTGAGCCCTGAGCACAAGGGGCAGCGTGGCTGGGGGTCCTTCCCAGGTGGGAAGTGGACACGCCCGACCGGCCCTGCCGAGGGAACAGGTGCTTCCAGGGGCTTCGGCTCCCTTGACTCTGGGAGGGGTGTGTTGGCAGGTCACGGAAAGATCATGAACAGCCCCTCCCCACCACCTCTGTTCTGGGTCTCTCGGTTTGGGCCAGGAACTGTCTCCAGCCCTCTGTCCACCTCCCCCTTGTCAGCAAGTCCCTGGTAACCCCTTGAGGAGAAAAACACTGGCAAACTCAGGAATACATCACTTTTATTTCCTGTTCTTAAAACCAGGGGTGAACGAACATAAGCATTTCCTAAGTACGAGGCAACAACTCAGAACCACCACACACACCCTCACCCACCCTGGGATCAGGAAAATGTCCTCTCTCTCCCTTGCCCCCGCTTCCTGTTTAACTTGGACTCTTCGCCGGAATGCAACTCTTCCCCAAAAAACATTTTAAAGCCATAAAGACCAGCAGGGGGCACCCTTTCCGGAGGGGGGGTGTCTGGCTCCGCCTTGCGGCCAGGTGGGGCCGGCTTCGAGCTCTCCCCGGCGACTTGTTCCAGAGCAGGGGATGCAGTCTCTAACATACCCCCTTCCAACCCTGGAGCATGGAGCTTCCATGCCCCCATCTCGAAACGGCATCGTCAAACCCAACCAACAACACGAGAACTTGCTAACGTGGGGGCAGAACTAACCCAAACTCAGCCCCCTTGGCTGCTGAGGCCAGATTCCTCAGAGCTTTGCTCTCTCCCAGATACGCTCTCTTTCTTGGGAAGTGGGTGGGGAGGCTGGAGAGAGGCTGGGAAGCCCCGGCCTTCTCAGCGGCAGAACCGCTCCAGCACGCACTGGTGGGGGGCCGGGGAGGTCTCCGTGGACGAGAAGTATGGATGCACAAGGGCAGCCTTGGCTGAGATCCGCCGGCTGGGGTCGTACTGCAAGAGTTGCTGTGGAGGAAGGAGGAGGAAAGAGACTGAGCCTTGGTGTGGCCAGGCCCGAAGAGGAGTTACCCTCCAGGCCCCAGGGGGCGGGCCCCAAGCTCCGGAGCATCTGTCTTCAAACCAGAACCGTGTGTAACCACTATCTCCCGGCTCTCGGGCCAGTTCTGGCCGCTCCTGGAATCTGGGGACAAAGAACTAGTTCTAGGCCGGCCTGGGAAGTCATCCCCATCTCCTGCAGCCTAGAGGCTGAGTCCGTCTGTCCTCTTCCTACCTGAGGTTCCCAGGCCTCTGCCTACTTCTGGCTGAGACAGACGTCTCTCCGTGCATCAGGAAGGAGAGGGCCAAACCTGTCTCGGGAGCCTACTTGAGGGTGGGGCAGGAACTCAGAGTCCCTAAGCCCCAGCTAGGCTGTGGGAGGACCCTTTGCCCGGGAGTAGCCAGGATGGAGAGCTAAGAGCCTTGGCTGGAGGCACACGCCATCCTGCTGGCCTTGGGTTGGTAGACATTCACGGGTGTCTGGGAAGATGAAAATACTGCCCTGCCTTCTTCTGGCCCAACACCAGATTAGAGACAGATGTGGCTCCGAGTCTTTGTGGGCAATGGGTGGCCTGTCTGAGGCCTTCTGGGCAGTCTGGCCTGGGCCAGCCCAACGGGTCAGGATGGTGCAACCAGAGAGGTGAGCTCAGACTATGGCAGGGGCCCAGACAGCAGGGAACAGCCTCATGTGAAGAGCAACTGTTGTGGAGGGAGGCATGCTCCCTGCCTGCGAAAGCTTACAGAAAAACGGTAAGTGGGGCACCTGGGTGACTCAGTTAAGCGTCTGCCTTCGGCTCAGGCCATGATCCCAGGGTCCTGGGATCGAGCCTTGTGTCGGGCTCCCTGCTCTTCGTCACAGCATAAAAACAGAGCTAACCAGAAGAAAGTAGTTTTAAAAGGAAACATGAATGCTGGACTTAACAGGGGAGGGGCCTCCAGGTTGAATGATCAGGATGCACAGGGACAGAGACAAACTAGTTGTGTTCAGGGGTCAGAAAAGAGACCAGCTGGACTTAGGAGGAGCTAGGGTGACACAAGGGGCTGGCTGACGAGGAGGCACTTCCGGTGGCCGCGGCAGCACGTCTTGCCCTCTGCTGCCTCCCACCTGTACCTACCATGAGCAGGTCCTTGCCCTCTGGTTCCAGACTGGGCACGATCTCCTCCAGCCCCTTCCTGGTCCACTTGGGGAAACTGCCCTTATAGTCAGGCAGCTGGGTGACCCCTGGCCACGTGGCTTCACTGGGTGTCCCCAGGGTCCGAAAGATTCGGAAGAGCTGGTCAATCTCAGAGTCGCCAGGAAACAGGGCCCTGCGGGTCACCTGAAATGAGGAAGAGGAGGTGTGGGATCCACGCCCTTGTCCTCCAGAATCCAATCCCAGATAAGCTATCCTTCCCAGGGCTGTGCTAAGAATCCCGGCCTTTTCTGGAATAAGGTTCGCTTCCTTAGTCCCGTAGCCCATCCCAAACACCCCCGAATCCACCTCCAACAGGAGAATCAGAGTCCCACTTGCACCCCAGCAGGACCCTGCCCGCGGCCCTGGCCTCCGTGGCCATGTTTGTCCCTCCCTCTACCATCTCGGCAAAGATGCAACCAATGCTCCAGACATCCACAGCTGTGGAATAGAACTTGCTGCCCAAGAGGATCTCAGGGGCACGATACCAGAGTGTCACCACCTGCGGGGGCAAGAAAACCGTCATTCCGGGTGGCTGAGTGCTCAGGGCCTAGCCCTTTAGCGGTCTCCTCCTCCCCTTTGTGCTGCAGTACCTCGTGGGTGTAGGTGCGTAGGGGCACCCCAAAGGCTCGAGCCAGCCCGAAGTCAGCCAGCTTGATGGCACCCAACTCGTTGATGAGCAGATTCTGGGGCTTCAGGTCGCGGTGGATGACCCGATGAGAGTGGCAGAAATTCACCCCCTGCAGCAGCTGGTAGAGGTAGCTCTGCCGAGGCGAAGCGCAAGAAGGAGCTGGTTGAGCGGAAGCCGCGCTGGCCGAGCGGGGCCTTCCCGTCCTTCCCCGTCCTTCCTTCCCCGTCCTTCCCATCCTTCCTCGTCCTTCCCCGTCCTTCCTTCCCCGTCCTTCCCTGCCTTCCCTGTCCTTCCTTCCCCGCCTTCCCCGTCCTTCCCCGTCCTTCCTTCCCCGTCCTTCCCATCCTTCCCCATCCTTCCCCGTCCTTCCTTCCCCGTCCTTCCCCGTCCTTCCCATCCTTCCTCATCCTTCCCCGTCCTTCCTTCCCCATCCTTCCCCGTCCTTCCCGCGCTACCTTGACCAGGCTCAGGGGCAGCTCGGAGGCTGCGGCCGAGTCCATGTACTTCTTCAGGTCCTGGCTGAGGAACTCAAACACCAGGTAAAGCTTCCTCTCACTATGCACCACGTCCAGCAGCCTGGCCGGGGGGACACCAGTCAGCACGCGGCTCCCAGCGGGACCGCGACAGGCCCCGCTTCCCCACGTCCTTCCCCAGCTCACCTGACGATGTTGGGGTGCTTAAGCTCTTTGAGCAGGGAGATCTCCCTGATGGCCGTGCTTGGGACTCCCTCGGTTTCCCTGCAGGGCAGGAGCGGACAGCAGTGGCGGCGGCGACCCGGGAGGGGTGCGTCTGCCCCGGGGCAGGCACCCGTGAGGTCCGTGTTCCTAAGAACGGCCTGGCCCCCCAGAGACGGGGCACTGTGCTCCCCAGCCCCTCCTGACACCACCCAGGGCCCTGGGCAAAGCGTGGCCGGAATGCGGACGGGAGGGCCGCCCGGGCGCCCGCCCTCAGACGTGGAGGTGAGGGGCAGGGGCCGCCCCCGGGGCGGGGGGTCTCGGGGGCTGCGGCGGCACTCACAGATCCAGCCTGATCTTCTTGAGGGCCACGAGCTGCCCTGTCTCCTTGTTCTTGGCCTTATACACCACCCCATAGGTGCCCTCTCCGATCTTCTCCACCTTCTGGAACACATCCATAGCCGCAGAGCTGCCCAGGAAACAGAGGGCGCCTGGGGCATTCACCGCCACACCCAGCACCCCCGCCGCCCCTCCGGCCCCCACAGAACACCCTGCTCAGCCGCCCCCCGGGCCCAGGCCCGCCTCTGCGCCCCCCCAGCCCCAGGAGCCCGCCCGGCCCAGGCAGGAAGGTGCCCCAGCTACGGGGCGCAGGAGGGCCCAAACTTCTCAGCAGAGCCCCTGCCTCGGCCCAGGCTCTGGGGGGTGAAGGCTACCCGGAAGGGCAGCCTGGGGGGCTGGAGTCAGCCCCAGGGCAGAAGTCAGGGGTTGGGAAGGGTTTCTGGGGCCACCCTCCTGCCCTAGGCCGCACGGCCAGGATGAGGGGCTGGGCCCCAACTGTCTGGGACGCTCGGCCTCCTCTGAGGGCAGAACTTCGGTGGGGGCGGCCCCCCTGCATCCTGAGCCCACCACCCCGGCCCTGGGGGCCCCTAACACCCCTCCCACAAACCCCAGCCCAGAATTCACCAGAAACCCTGCGCTCCTAGGGCCTCACTGCCGGCAGGCTGCCTGCTCCGCGGCTCCCCCTCCTGGCCCCCTCCGGCGCTGCACCACGTGCACACAACGCAAGGTCTCCCCCACTGGGGCCTTTATTCATGAGGACCTTCCAGAACCCTCCATATTCCCCCTCGAGGCTCAGGTCCCAGCACCCCACAGCTCAGCCTCCAGCAGGCTCCTAGCGGGGGGGGGGGGGAGGTGTCCAGAACAATCCAAATTAGCAACCCCTCCGCTTCGGTCCAGCTCCAGAAAAAGGCTGTCACTCTGGGGAAGGTCCTGCATCTTCTCTGCTCAGGCATCTCCAGTGGGCTTGGCCTCAGGAGCAGGCTGGGGGGGGACGGTTGCCAGGAACTGCCATTTGCTCCTGGCCGTTGTCCCTCTCTTGCTGGTACCTCCTCTGCTCCCGGACGGCTTGTTCCAACAAGGGGAGATTCATTCCTTCCACACAGGTCAGCACCCGGGCCTTCACCACGGAGCCTCCATCTGAAAGACACAAGCACGAGGCACTAGCAGTGACTGACCCCGTGTCAGCAACACACCCCACGGACGCATTCCAGCTGTTTCCCCCGGACTCACTCTCAGGATGAGTTTGAAGGATGGCATTCGGACACTGGTAACCTTTCTCTACTTGGGCTTCAGAACGGTGGGCCTGCCGCACACTATCCCCACACGTGTCTGGAGCTTAGGGGAGAGCCTGAAAATCCCACTTCTCCATGGAGGAAGGGCCAGATAGATGTCCCCTCTAACGTCCGTCTTTTGTCATCTTAATTCCCGCCACCTTCCCTGCCCCAAGTGCCCAGGGTTGAGGAGGGGTCGCAATCACCATCCCAGTTCTCCATTTGTACTAAGGGAAGGGCCTCCTTAGCATACTGGGCCCCACTGACATTGAAAATTGGGGCAAAGAGAACCCCATAATTAGTAAATCCAAGGGGGGAGTTTGGCCTTGTAGAGGTAAGTCATCCCACCCTGGACAAGGGGCTGGGAGGTGCTTCTAACACACTGCTGTGTTGACCTGATGGAAAGATCTGTCAACGTGCAGGTGACCTCAAGAAGGAGAGACATCTGGGCCTGCCCTAACAGGTTTTTTTTTTAAGTAGGCTCCATGTGAGTTGAGAGAACAACCCCGAGATCAAGTAGTCAGATGCTCGACCAACTGAGCCATCCAGGAGCCCCGTTTTTTAAATTTTTTTCATCCATGTTCTTTATGCTCTCTGGTCACGTCAACAAACATAATCAGTGTTCTAGGACATCCTGTTTCCTTTGATGCGGTTTTGAGATACAGCCTCTCTGGTTAGATAGGTCATGCCTTGCCTTCCTCCTAGTCTAGACCACTTTCTTTCTTCTCTTCCTTGTTTCTTTCCTTCCTTTCTTTTCCTTCCTTCCTTCCTTTTCTTCCTACCACCCTCCCTCCCTCCTACTCTCTCTCTCTTTCTTTTTTTAAGTAGGCTCTACACCCAATGTGGGGCTTGACCCTGGCATGGGGCTCAATTTCATGACCTGAGCCGAAACCAAGAGGCAGATGCTTAACTGACTAAGCCACCCAGGCACCCTGCACAGAACTTTCCTTACATGATGCCTATCAGCTCTTTCCTCCCATCAGCCTGGGGAAACCCGCCCTCCTAGATTTATATTGAGGAACATGTTGTTTCTCCCTGTGAATGAAAAATATTATTAAACATGGAAGTGACCTTAAGAAATATGATTATCACAAGGGACAAACTGGGCAATTCTTTTTTTTTTTTAAAAGATTTTATTTATTTATTTGAGAGAGAGAATGAGATAGAGAGAGCATGAGAGGGGGGAGGGTCAGAGGGAGAAGCAGACTCCCTGCCGAGCAGGGAGCCCGATGCGGGACTCGATCCCGGGACTCCAGGATCATGACCTGAGCCGAAGGCAGTCGCTTAACCAACTGAGCCAACCAGGTGCCCAAACTGGGCAATTCTGTCAGTCCATCTGCAGGGAGGTCCTTGTAACTGGGATACAAGAACAGCGTTTGAAGAAATAACTGCAGGGAGGGGAGAAGAGAGTCTACAGACAAGATGGCTAGAGAGTCCTTTAGGGGAATTTTTTTCAAGCTTAACGAATTCAGAGCAACAGAGGGACTGAATGCCAAGGGCAGTGGGAATGCGGTGGGTGGAGGCATGGGTAGGAGAGAGGGAAGGGGTGATGGAAAGAACAGACCTTTTAGGATGTCTGTCCGAGCAGGGAAGGAGGGTCATAGCGAGGTAGGGATACAGAGCAGAAAATGATGACACTTATTATTTTAATATAGAAGAAGCTTGAGTGATTTATACGCTGAGAGGGAAGAGGCAGTGCTAACAGGTTAAGGACTCAGTTGAGAGGGCAAAGTCCCCATGGGAGGACAGCCATGAGTCACGCTGCAGGGAAGATGGGCCCTTCCTCCTCCCAGACGGGAAGAAAGGGGACACTGGCGCGTGTGGACACGGGTAATTTTAGGAGGGGCTCTTGCTGCGGCCTCTGTTGGACCTGGGACTTAGGAGGTGAGGCAGTCTACCGAAAGGGGCGAGGAGGTGATGAAGTAGGGGTCTCCTGTGACAGGCGAGTGACGCATGGTGGGAGGGGGTGGACCGGGATGCGCATAAGGCCCTAGTGCAGGCAGTGGTGATGGAAGGCAAGGGCCGGAAACTTCCACCAGGAAAGGGGTTGCCATGGCAGCGAGGCCAGGCTGGAACAGAGGAAAGTGAACAGGAGAGAAGGCAGGAGAAAAAGGAGCCCGAAGTGCACAGGTCCTGCGGGGCTGAAGAGCAGGGAGGTACCAGGAATCAGGGCTGCAGTCCCAGGTGGCAGAGGCGTGGCCGTGGCTGTGGGAGGCAGAAGTGGGACAGAACCGGTTGGCCGCAGAGAAGAACAAAGGTGTGAACGGCAAACCCGAGCAGCTAGCAGGCTGCTGGCCCCACCTCTGGGCCCTGCGGCGTGTGTGACCGGGAAGGCTGACCAGGCTCTACATGGGGATGGGAGGGGAGCTGTGGTCCTGGGAAAGAGCCAGGTTTCAGGCAGACGAGGGCGTAAAAAGCCTTTCAGGGAGGAGCGAAGGTTCCAGAAGACACAACAGGAAGGCTTGTAAGGGCAGGGACCAGCGAGAAGAAAACCAGACGGGTAGGATTTATGGCGAGGGCTCAAGGGCAGCCTCGCGCTGTAGGCAAGGTCACCTACAGCCTGGGAATTCTCCTAGGAACTCCTAGGAAAGGCTGGGTCCCAACACCCCCACCCTGGGAGGGAGCCCTCAGGCTCTTGCTTGGTACTCCAAGAACCTGTCAGAGCCAGTGGGTTTCTGGCAGGCATTTCTTCACCTTTTTGGTCTCCTCGGCTCGCTGTGTGCACAAATTTCGGGAAGGTGACTTTATTTTTCTTTTTAAGTTTTACTTATTTAATCTCTACACCCAACGTGGGGCTCAAATGCACGACCCCGAGATCAAGAATCACGTGCTCTTACGACTGAGCCGGCCAGGTGTCCCAGAAAGGTGACTTTAGGAGGCCTCTTGTCTGTCCTTAGAGTTGCTAACCTTGCCACCTGACAGATCCGTGTCTAGTTGATGCTTGTGCCCCCCTGGACTTAGGACCTGACCGGGACCAGACACACAGAGGTTTGGAAGCAGCCAGGCAGGAACGTTGCAGACCAGGGATCAGCAGCCACCTCCACACTCAGCCCACACTCTGGCCCTTCCTCCTCATGGCTCTTTACTTCCGTGTGTCAGTTTCAAAGGATGAGCACGTCTTACTGAGAAATTAGAAATTTAGGGGGAAGTTTTTTCTTAAGAAAAAAAAAACCACACAGATTGTGATGAAAATAATGCGAAGCAGTCAAGTAGCCAGAGCCCAGGGAGAATGCTGCCTGACCCGAGGCTTGATCATTCGGGTTCAGGTTTGGGGGGCGGGGGCAAGGACACTTGAGAGTGTTGCTTGCTGCCTGTGCCTTCCAGGTGCATCGGGGCTGATCCATCTGCTTCTACAGAGGGGCCTTTGGGGGAGGCCCAGGTGTTGGCTGATCCCTGCTGTACGGCGTTCCTGCCGTGCTTTTGTGGACCTTTCGTGGACCGATGGGAGCAGCCAGTGGTAATGATCCTTGCCTGGATTCATTATTTTATCAGGACTTTTAAAGAAGTGCCTTTCGGGCGCCTGGGTGGCTCAGTTGGTTAAGCGACTGCCTTCGGCTCAGGTCATGATCCTGGAGTCCCGGGATCGAGTCCCGCATCGGGCTCCCTGCTCGGCGGGGAGTCTGCTTCTCCCTCTGACCCTCCCCCCTCTCATGTGCTCTCTCTCATTCTCTCTCTCAAATAAATAAATAAAATCTTTAAAAAAAAAAAAAAGATGAACTTTTATTAAATCAAAGATAAAAGTAAGCACCATCTAATAACATTTTTTCTAGCACATTTCATCCAGAGTTAAAAACCACCATGACTTTTAGGAAGGAAGTTGGTGTTATAAGGTAAGAAATAAATGTTTGCATCCTTCAATAGAGCAATTCTACTTTTAGGAAACTATCCTGAAGAAATAATCTGAAAATGGGGTGCCTGGGTGGCTCAGTCGTTAAGCATCTGCCTTCAGCTCAGGTCATGATTGCAGGGTCCTGGGATCGAGCCCCACATCGGGCTCCCTGCTCCGTGGGAAGCCTGCTTCTCCCTCTCCCACTCCCCCTGCTTGTGTTCCCTCTCTCGCTATGTCTCTCTCTGTCAAATAAATAAATAAAATCTTAAAAAAAAAAAAATCAGAAAATGGACAAAGACAGTGCATGAGGATATTAACTGTAGCATTTTTAATATATATCGAGGTATACAGGTTTTTTTTATTTTTTATTTTTATTTTTTTAAATCTTGATCTCGACCTGAGATCAAGACCTGAGTTGAGATCAAGAGTCAGACACTTAACCAACTGAGCCACCCAGGTGCCCCAAAAGATACAATTTTTTTTTTAAGGTTTTATTTATTTGACAGAGAGAGACACAGCGAGAGAGGGAACACAAGCAGGGGGAGTGGGAGAGGGAAAGGGAGAAGCAGGCTTCCTGCTGAGCAGGGAGCCCAGTGAGGGACTCGATCCCAGGACCCTGAGACCATAACCTGAGCCGAAGGCAGACGCTTAACAACTGAGCCACCCAGGCGCCCCAAAAGATACATTTTTTAAAACGTTTTTCCCCCTCTGGCTATAAAAGCAATATATCTTCACTGTAAAATGCTAACACAAATACAAAAAAATTCCACAGTCCCACCACCCAGAAATAACTGCTATTAACATTTTGGTGAATAATCTTTCAAACTTCTATGTATATAAAAAAAAGTATATTAGGTATGCCTGGCTAGCTCAGTCCACAGAGCATGTGACTCTTCATCTTGGGGTTTTAAGCTCAAGCCACACTTTGGGTGTAGAGATTACTTAAAAATAAAATCTTTAAAAAAAAATGGGATCATACGATACATATTGTATTGTAAACTGCTTTTTCTTAGTAAGATATTGTGAACATCAGGGCACCTGGGTGGCTCAGCTGGTTGAGCATCCGACTCTTGATTCGGCTCAGGTCATGATGTCAGAGTCATGGGATTGAGCCCTGCACTGGGCTCTGCGCTAGGCATGGAGACTGGTTGGGATTCTCCTCTCCTTCTGCCTCTCCCTGCTTCCCCTCTCCCTGCTTTACCCCTGGTCACGCTCTCACGCGCTCTCTCTCAAAAAAAAAAAGAAAATATTGTGCACATCTCTTCATGTCAACTGATAAAAATTTACAGCACCATTTTTAATGGCTGCACAATATCCTACTAACTGAATATACCATAATTCCTTTAACCAGTAAGTGCACAGTATATTTATAAGAGCAAAAAATGGAAACAATATAAATGTGCAATGGTCTTGTGAATTAATACACATCTAATCTATAAAATAGTATATAGCCATAAAACACTACATCTACAAAAATTTTAAAAACATGGGGAAATGTTTATGATACAATATGAAGTCTAAATAACCAGATACAACATTACATATGATATCAACCATGTAAAGGAAGACGACACAGGGATAGCCAGCAGAGAGAGGCAAAGAATTCATTCAAGTACCTAGGTTTTAAAAAGCAACCTTCAACTCTTTTTTTTAAGATCTTATTCATCTATTTGAGATAGACAGTGAGAGAGAGAGAGCACAAGTGGGGTGGGGGGAGCAGTGGGAGAGGGAGAAGAAGACTCCCCGCTGAGCAGGGAGCCCGATGCAGGAACTTGATCTCAGGACCCCGGGATCATGACCTGAGCCGAAGGCAGACGCTTCACCGACTGAGCCACCCAGGCGCCCTGCAACCTTCAACTCTTGATGCCGGAGAGATTCTGCCAGGTTGATGGGATTCCTTTCCTTCTATTTCTCTTACCCTGACTTCCTGGCCTGTTATTCCAGCCCCATCCTCGCCTTGCCTTAGTTTTCTAATCTATGGAACAGCAACAATAAGACTCAGTTTAAAGACCTGGTGGGCAGGGGAGGGGGGAGTGGGGATGGGTTAGCCCGGTGATGGGTATTGAGGAGGGCACGTACTGCAGGGAGCGAAAACAATGAATCGTGGATCACCACATCAAAAACCAATGATGTATTGTATGGTGACTAACATAACGTAATAAAATTTAAAAAAATAAAAAAATAAAAAATAAAAAATAAAGACCTGGTGGGCAAATTCAAAAAGATGGAAGCAAACCGTGTAGTACCAGGCCTGGCATGTGGTGGGCCTTCAGAAATTAGTGATTTCTCTCTTCTCTCACTTCCCTAGAGCAGGTCCACTGAGCCGATCATGTGTGTTTCCCATGAGTCCTTGAACTTGTGGGCTGATTTGGAAGGGAAGCTAGTCCTGTGGGAGACTCCTGTTGGGTCAGAAGCCAGGCCCAGTCCTAACCGAAGACTGCCCCACCAGGACCCGGTGTGAAAAGGGAATGTGAAGCATTGGCTTACCCTGGTGCTCCAGCTCTCCGAGGACAAGGTACAGGGAGTCCTTCTGGGCTTGGAACGGCTCCACCAACTTGGTGCAGACCAGAATCTGGTGCTCATCAGATCCATGCTGAGCTCTCAGCGTCACTCGGGATTGGGTCATATCATAGAGGCACAGCCTGCAGGTCAGGGAAAGTGTGATCATTTTTGTCCAGAAAGAGAACAAACACAAAAAGCTCAAAAGGTTCTGGGAGGCCAATATACCCATGGGCCTCTGATCAGAGAAATAAAAATGGCAGCAACAAGTCAGAAAAATTGTTTCCAGTCTACATTATAAAGATATAAATTACATGCATTACAAGGCACCTGTTTATTTTTTATTTTTTTTTAAAGATTTTATTTATTTATTTGACAGAGAGACAGCTAGAGAGGGAACACAAGCAGGGGGAGTGAGAGAGGGAACACAAGCAGGGGGAGTGGGAGAGGGAGAAGCAGACCTCCTGCCGGAGGGAGAGAGGGAACACACACACTCGCTGTGCTCCCACTCCCTGTTTGTGTTCCCTCTCTCGCTCTCTCTGTCAAATAAATAAAATCTTTAAAAAAAATGATTTTATTTATTTACTTGAGAGAGAGAGCATGAGCAGGGGGAGTGGCAGAGGCAGAGGGAGAAGCAGACTCCCTGCCGAGCAGGGAGCCCAACGCGGGGCTCGATCCTAGGACCCTGGGACCATGACCTGAGCCAAATGGCAGACGCTTAACTGACTGAACCACCCAGGTGCCCTCGTTGTGGTTTTAATTTGCATTTCCCTGTGACTAATGATGTTGAGCATCTTTTCATGTGCTTATTATCCATTTGTGTATATATATATATCTTTTTGGCATATGCAAAATTGTTTACTTTCTGTATGACCGCTAAGTGTTATGTATATCCTCTCTTGTGAAGTGTCTATTCAAGTCTTTGCCCTCCTCCTTTTTAACATTCTGTAACATATGCTTTTCCCCTCTGGTTCTACTTAGGTATAACTGAAATATAATAAACTATACATATTTAAGGTACACACTTTGACATTTGACATTTTATACACTTGAGCAACTGTCTGCACAATCAATAATGAACACATCGTTTCATCACCCTGAAAAGTTCCCTCTTGCATTTTCATATTCCTCCAACACACCACAGCCAGGCAATCCTTGCAGGCAACTGGCCTGCTCTTTTTTCACTATAGATTTTTTTTGCATTTTCTAAACTTTTACATAAATGGAACCATACAACATCTAATTTTTTTTGGCCTGGTTTCTTTCTTTTTTTTTTAACGATTTTATTTTTTTTAAGTAATCTCTACACCCAACACGCAGCTTGAACTCACAACCCTGAGATCGAGAGTCACATGTTCTACTGACTGAGCCACCCAGGTGCCCCATCAACAGTCTTTTTAAATTCAGCCACTCTAGTGGGCATATAGGAGTACCTCGTTGTAGTTTTAATTTGCATTTCCCTAATGATACTATACATATGTGGTGTGAACACACACCCATCCACATATTCATGGACATCCATACACGAGCGTGTCTAAATGAATCACCAAAAGGTTAGCAACGGCTGTCCAGAGAGAGGGATTATGGGTGATTTTCACTTGCTTTCTTTACACTTTTATGGATTGTCTACTTTTTTCCAGTGGAAATATATTAATGTCTTAGCACTTAAAAAATAAGTTGAAAAGGGACGCCCGGGTGGCTCAGTCAGGGGTGCGTGCGACTCTTGATCTTGGGGTCATGAGTTTAAGCCCCATGTTGGGTGTAGAAATTACTTGAATAAATAAAACTTCAAAAATTAAAAAAAAAAACTAAACAAACTTATAATAACACCATTTTAATTGTTTTTTTCTGGCGGGGGGTTGTGGGAGGCACTGAAACATCCCCCCACCCTATGAAAAAAACCATTCTCACCTGCCGAATGTTCTCAGTGTGCCCCCGTTGGGAACTTGGCCAGCACTGACTTCCCAGGGGAAGTAATAGATCCCAGGTTTGGGCAGCATCTCAAATAGCTGGGCGGGATTTCTGAAGATTCCTGACAAGCCAAGCAGACCACAAGACTGAGATTAGCAGATACCCAAGACCAGCAACACCCGAAAGGCTAGTTCCAGTGGCACTTTAGTATTTAAAGATATTTAAGACTGGGAATTTAATATTTAAGAGTGGTAGTTTAATATTTAAAAATTTTTTTGATCAGTTATGCATTCACTAATTTATTTATTTATTTATTTGACAGAGAGAGACACAGCGAGAGAGGGAAGACAAGCAGGGGGAGTGGGAGAGGAAGAAGCTGAGCAAGGAGCCCGATGTGGGGCTTGATCCCAGGATCCTGGGATCACAACCCGAGCCGAAGGCAGACCCCCAACGACTGAGCCACCCAGGCGCCCCATTCACTAATTTAAAAAAGCAAAATGATATAACCTGGGAGATGCAGTCTGTTGGGTGTGGGAATCTCGGGTTTCGGCTTGGGTCATGATCTCGGGGGGTGAGATCAAGCCCCGTGTCAGGTTCCTCGCTCTGCACGGAGTCTGCTTGAAACCTCTCTCTCTCTCCCTCTGCCCCAAGAGCAACCCCCATGCATATGCACGCTTTCTCTCTCAAATAAATAAGCAAATCTTAAAAAAAAAAAAAACAAAACTACGTGGAGAACTGTTGTCCCACTCCAATCCCTCTGCAATCCAGTCCCACCCTGATCCCCCCGAAGAGGGTTCTATAAAAGGACAGACAGTATCTCACCATCTCTGTCACAACTATTCAATGTCGCCGTAATAGTATGAAGACAGTCACAGACAATACACAGAGAAACGAGTGAGACTTGCTCCTTAAGCTTTATTTACAAAAACATGCAATGAGCTGGATCTGATCTGTGTTGAAGTTTGCCAACCCTGGCCCTTAAAGAAAATCATTTTTATTTATTTCTTATGTAACCTTCCAGGGTTTCATTATGCAAACAATAACAAAGATATTTATTTCCCCTCTATACTCTAAATTTTTTTTTTTTTAAGATTTTATTTATTTGAGAGAGAGCGAGCACGAGCAGGGGTGGGGGAGGGACAGATGGAGAGAATCTCAAGGAGACTCCACACCCATCACACAGCGTGCAGCCAGACTCGGGGCTCAGTCTCATGACCCTGAAATCATGACCTGAGCCAAAATCAAGAGTAGGATGTTTAACCGACTGAGCCACCAGGTGCCTAACCCCTTCCCTCTATACTATATATGCTGTTCTGTATTTTGATTTTTTTCACCTAATGTATTTTTTTAAGATTTTATTTACTTAGAGAGAGAGAAAGAGAGCGAGAGCACAAGCAGGGGGAGTGGCAGAGAGAGAAGCAGGCTCCCTGCTGAGCAAGGAGCCCGATGTGGGACTCGATCCAGGACTTGGGATCATGACCTGAGCTGAAGGCAGACGCTTAACCAACTGAGCCACCCAGATGTCCCAATATATTTTGACATTCTTTCATAATTGTACATAAAGTGAGTTTTCCTTTTTTTTTTAGTAGGCTCCACACCCATCGCAGAGCTCAGAGGGGGCCTGAACCAATGACCCTGAGATCAAGACTGGAGCTGAGATCAAGAGTTGGACGCCCAACTGACGGAGCCACCCAGATGCCCCTACAGGTTTGTTTTTTTAAATATAAATCTAAAACTATTCTAAAATAAAAAGGTTATTAAAAAAAAAAATGAAGACCCCGGGGTGCCAGGGTGGCCCCCTTCCGTTTGGGTTTCTCTGATGTTTTTCTCATGGTTAGACTAGGGTTATGAGTTTTGTTAGTAATTTTAAAAAGAGAAAACATTGGTTTAATAAGTCATGTGATAATAATGCAAAGGACACTTGGCAGGCTTTTTAAGATGAGGCATCGTATGCACTCATATGGCAGGATCGCCAAGATAGACCATCAGGGAAAAAGGTAAGGAGCAGGCATGTACATAAAATATGTACATCTGTGTATGTGTGAAAGAACACTCCAGAACATGAGGATCCATGTGTAGAAAATGTTAGGGAAGTGGGGATTCAGGAATAATTATTCAGTGACAAAGGAACCCTGGGGGCGCCTGGGTGGCTCAGATGGTTAAGCGTCTGCCTTCGGCTCAGGTCATGGTCCCAGGGTTCTGGAATCGAGTCCCGCATCGGGCTCCCTGCTAGGCGGGGAGCCTGCTTCTCCCTCTGCCTCTGCCTCTCTCTCTCTCTCTGACTTTCATGAATAAATAAAATAAAACATTTAAAAAAAAAAAAAGGAACCCTGAAGGTGATAGGCTTCAACTGTTTAACAGGCTAAAACCAAGGGAGACAGAAACACAGGAAATGTCAATGAAATCATCCCAAGTAAGATCCTTGCAGAAGCCAGATGATACAGCTTTAGCACAGAAGCTTAATATTAGGGGAGCCCGGGTGGCTCAGCTGGTTAAGTGTCTGACTTGATCTCAGCCCAGGTCTTGATCTCAGGATCATGAGTTCAAGCCCCAGGTTGGGATCTGCACTGGGCATAGAGCCTACTTAATTAAAAAAAAAAAAAAAAGGTAAAAGAAACTTAATGTTACCTAGAACCTTGCATAACAGGTGTTAGTACCCTCTAACGAGGTCATCAGGCACTGTCACTGGTCAATGTTCAAGGATCATTTCAAGTCAGAACAACAGCACAGGGCAAATGGCCAAGGCCTAGTCCTATTGCCCTAAGTGCAGATGTTCTATATCCCTGCGACCAGGGAGCGGAGCCATTCCTGGACCCAGAAATGAGAGAGCCCCCAAATCATCTTTGGCATGAGAGAGAAGCAAAAAACAAAACAAAGCAAAACCAAAAATCAGCCAAGAGAAGAAAAAAAATGTATTGGTTCCTGTTTTGGGATAATGGGGACAATCCTGTCCCATCTAGCAAAAAGGTAAAAACTTAGACTCTTTTTTTATTTTTAAAATTTTATTTATTTATTTGACAGAGAGAGAGATAGCGAGAGCAGGAACACAAGCAGGGGGAGTGGGAGAGCGAGAAGCAGGCTTCCTGCCGAGCAGGGAGCCCGATGTGGGACTCGATCCCAGGACCCTGGGATCATGACCTGAGCCGAAGGTAGACGCTTAACGACTGAGCCACCCAGGCACCCTAGACTCTTTTTGTAAAAAGTAATTTTTCTAGGGGTACCTGGGTGGCTTAGTCGGTTAAGCATCCGACTCAGCTTCTGCTCCGGTCATGTGTGATCTCAGGGTCCCAGGCTTGAGCCCTGCATTTGGCTCTGTGCTCAGTGGTGAGTCTACTTGAGGATTCTCTCCCTCTACCCCTCCCCCCACCCCCTCCCCATCTAAAATAAATAAATCTTTTTTTAAATTTTTTTTTTTAAGGTTTTTATTTATTCAACAGAGAGACAGAGAGCACAAGTAGGCCGAGCGGCAGGCAGAGGGAGAGGGAGAAGCAGGCTCCCCGCCGAGCAGGGAGCCCGACGTGGGGCTCGATCCCAGCACCCTGGGATCATGACCCGAGCTGAAGGCAGCCGCTTAACCGACTGAGCCACCCTGGTGCCCCTAAAATAAATAAATCTTAAAATTTTTCTACTCTCAAGTACCACATATACTATAAACTAAGCTATAAATAACTATGTCATTGAATTTATTTTTATTTTTTATTTTATTCATACAGTAGAATTGACTCTTTGTGGAGGGGTATATGCTTTGGCAAATTTCAACCTCATTGATTTTTTTTCAAGTTTACTTATTTAAGTAATCTCTATGCCCAACACAGGGTTCAAACCCACAACCCTGAGATCAAGAGTAGCATGCTCTTCTGACTGAACCAGCCAGGCGCCCCATCATTGATTATTCATTCATCCATTTCTTTATGTTTAAAGATTTTATTTATTATTTATTTATTATTTATTTGAGAGAGAAAGCGTGCGGGAGTGGGGTGAGGGGCAGAGGGAGAGGGAGAAGCAGACTCCCCGCTGAGCAGGGAGCCTGATTAAGGGTTCAATCCCAGGACCCTGAGATCATGACCTAAGCCAAAGGCAGACACCTGACTGACTGAGCCACCCAGGTACCCCAGTTTTTAATTTTATTTATTTTTTAAAGATTTATTTATTTTTGGGGGGGTGAAGGGCAGAGGGAGAGAATCATCAAGCAGACTCCCCGCTGAGTGCAGAGCCCTATGCAGGGCTCAATCCCACAACCCATTAGATTACGACCTGAGCTGAAACCAAGAGCCAGATGCCCATCCAACTGAGCCACCCAGGCGCCCCACCCCTGATTTTTTTTTTTTCCAAGCAAAAGTTGCTATGTGTTTATTAAGACATTTCTGTTAATTTCCTTAAGCGCAGCTGGCTCAGTAAATCATTATCCATATACCATCAGACATGCAAGAAAGTTTCTGAGAAGCTGTATCAAGGCTGGCTTTTCTTATGGCTTAGCCAGGTTTCCGTCTGAGTAATAATCTGTACTGTAGCGCTTTGCCCTTTCCATTCCCCAAGGCAAAACAACCACTGCTGGGAGAAAAATCCACAGTATGAACAAGAGAAATAGGCTTCTTTTTTTAACGACTGGGAAATTTGAAAAATACCGTACAGGAAGGATGGGAAGGATGGTGACCCGATTTGACTGCTTCTTTCATTTTTTCCCGAAGCAATTGGTAAGATATCTATGGTAGGACTGAAGGTCAGAAAAGTAATACCTGTAAGTAAGTTCATGATAGCTTTTATCAGCTTTGGGTTTCTTTCTTGGAGATAAGAATCTTCATTGTAGGGGCACCTGGGTGGCTCAGTCATTAAGCATCTGCCTTCAGCTCGGGTCATGATCCAGCTCAGGTCATGATCCCAGGGTCCTGAGATTGAGCCCCGCACTGGGCTCCCTGCTCAGCGGGGAGTCTGCCTCTCCCTGTGCCCCCCACCCACCCCTCATGCGTGCTCTCACTCTTGCTCTCAAAAATTAATAAATAAAATCTTTTTAAAAAATTCATATTGAGGGGCGCCTGGGTGGCTCAGTTGGTTAAGCGACTGCCTTCGGCTCAGGTCATGATCCTGGAGTCCCGGGATCGAGTCCTGCATCGGGCTCCCTGCTCAGCGGGGAGTCTGCTTCTCCCTCTGACCCTCCTCCCTCTCGTGCTCTCTCTCATTCTCTCTCTCGCAAAAAAAAAAAAAAAAATTCATATTGAATTTTTGCACTTCACTCCCTCCACAGTCCAAGCTTTCATTAGCTTTGAAACTGGTCTGTTTCCACTATTTTCCTTCTATTGCTCACTCTTTTCAGAACAACCACAGTGATATTTTAAAATGGAAACTATGCCACAGGGAGTACTTTCTGCCAGAACCTCAAGTCTGAATCTAACAATGCCTCTAGATACAACCAACAGCTTACAGAAAATACAGAAACCGAGGAACAAATCAAAGACATCACAGAGATGGTAAAATCCAGATTGTGGGAAATTCAATGCGAAAAATGACCTACCTTTTTCTTCTGTTTCTTTCTTTTTTTTTAAGGTCACACTGGGTGTGACCCTGAGATCAAGACCTAAGCCACGCAGGTGCCACTTGACCTAGCTTTTTCAACAAATAAGTTGAAGAAAAAAATTGTACAGTGGAAACCTATACATTAAAAGAGACTTAAGATTCTTATCAACCAACTGCAATGTGCAGAATTTGTTTGGACCCTGATTTGAACTAACTAACTGTAGAGTTTTTTATGAAACATTTGAATATCGATTGTAATGACCACAAGACATTTTTGTTAATATTTCCAATTGTGATAATGGGATTGGGATTGTGTTAAAAATAGTTTAAAGATACATACTAAAAGTCTTTATGGATATGATATCCGATTTGCTTTAAGTTAACATGGAGGGGAATTGGGTGAAGGTACAGTGGATAATTATTGTACCTGGGTGAAAAGTAGATGTTTATTGTATTATTCCTTCTATCTTTGTACATGTTTGAACAGTTCCACAATTAATATTTAAAAATGTAAATCAGGTCACAAAACCCCACTGAAAATCAATTAAAGGCTTCCTATTATAAATTCCTATTAAAAATTAAAGTCTTTGTGTTGGCCCACAGTGCCACATGGGGTCTGCGCCTGGCCTACCTCTCGGCTCTGACGTTTGCCATCACACTTCCTCTAGCTCACGCTCACCCTCAGGACCTGCATACTTGCTCTTCCTCAGACTTGAGCAGTCTTCCCCAGACCTTCACATAACTGGTTCTCTTTCCCTATTTAGGTCTCAGTTCATCCTCCGACTCCTCAGCAAGGCCTTCCCTGTTCACCCTATCTAAATTAGCATTCTCCACCACCCCCAGTCCCTCTATCCCCTTAGCTTGATTTATTTTCTTCATTGTAGTTTACTAAGTAGTAGAATTTCAGAGTGTGATTTGTTTACTTCTTTAATGCCTCTGTCTCCCACTAGATTATCAGCTCCATGAGGGCATTATTCCTCACAGTATCCCCTTGTGCCTAAAACCATGTCTGGGCATTATGAAATAGTTATTGAATAGAATGTATTCATGAAGATCATCTACCCCTACACTCAACCTGGACACAGAGAACCCAAACCACATCTTACTGCCTACATTAACAGAACTTTGTGGTCCTATGCCTTCATTAGCATTTTTTTTTTTTTTAACTCTTCTTGACTGTCCAGCCCAGGCAAATGGTTTAACCATTAACAGCCAGTTTGCCTTCTGAGGTTATCTGAATTCCCTTGCCTTGATGTTTCCACCAATTTTCTACTGTTGTACAGGGGTTCTTACCCAGTCCTGAAATGAAAGACACGCCTTAGACTAAACTTCCAACTCTCAATAAATTCTGGCCTTACCTTCTCCTAGACACTGCCAAAGGTTTGCCAAGTAGTGTTTGTCCTTACCTGAGTAAGCAATCCCCTCACCTTCGTCTTATGATGTTGTGTTGTGGTATCTGGGGAGGGGGCTTTTGACAAGAGGACTACAATCCAAACACAGCAGCCAAACTAAGTATTTTAACGCCGGGGAGCATTAAAAACATAATCAGTAACAGTGCCTTGCCCTGATATACTGAGTTTGGGGCAAAAGGAAAAATCAGTAATAATGATCTTGTCTTTATTAATCTTGATTAGTGCTCCCTTAAATTACATCGGAGGTGAATGCCTCATTTACCTTACCGTATTCCCGGTACTGTTACTAAAAACTGATGCAATAAAAAACAGAGTATGAAGTGCACAGTTTTAAAAAATCTGTGGATTTTTTACGTGGATTCATATGTTGTTTGAAGTTATAAGGGTATGTTAGGGAGAGAGAAAGGAGATGGTGTAGTGTGCCCTATCTTCATTAATAGTATTAAGTCAAAAGGTAACTAAAGCAAGAGCTAGCATGTATTTTATGTAATCAGAATTAAAAACACAACTGGTTAAAAGTGGCTGCCTCTGAGGATGGGGAGCTCTTGCTTTTTATTACAAATTCTCCGATACTAGGTTTCCTAAACATGGACATCTATTACTTTGACGACGACGGTGGTGATAACTGTGAAAGCAAAAAAAGTCTGGATTCCAAGACTTCTAAACGGCCAGCCCGGCCCCATTCTGGTCCACACCCACCCCATTAATGGGGAGGAGGGCCCGCAACCCCACACCCGGCTCCCCGAAGCCAATGCTTCTGGCAGCAAGGATGCCATTATCTGAACAAAAGATTACAAACAAAAGGAGGCCTCTTCCCCGGCGACTTCCGTCCTCCTCCTTTTTTCCTCCAATTTGGGAGGGTCTGGGGAAACCCTGCGACAACCCTCCCCAGCAGCGCCGCGCGGCCCAGAAGCTCAAACCACGCCACCCCCGGCCCCCACCAACGACCTTCAGCCCTCGGGAGGCCTCCGCAGGCGGACCCGGAAGCGGCGGGACCGACGCGTCCCACGGCGCAGGCGCAGTCCTCCTCAGCCGCGTTGTCCCGCCCCTTCCCTACCTCCTCGCCAACCTGTCGGGGCGTCGCGGCGGCCGCGGTTCCCTCTTTCCGCCTCGCGCGATCGCGTGACGAGGGAGGGGCGGGTTACCAGGAGCGCCCGGCTTTCCTCCCTCCCCGCCCCCGGGGCAATTTCTTGGCGGTCTTCCGGGGCTGCCTCCCCGGGGGGGCCGCTCTAGGACGCCCCCGGACGAGAGCGGAGGACGCGCCCGCCCCGCAGCCGCGTACGGCCGTGACCACGCCCGCGCCGGCGCCGCTCCGCCTCCGCCGCGGTCGCTAGCGCGCCCACCGGCCGCGGGGAAGGGGAAGGGGCGGGCCGGGGCGGGCCGGGGCGAGCGGGGGCGGGGCCTCGCGCCGTCTTGGGGCTGCTCTCAGGGTCCGACCCGCGCTGGAGCTGCGGACGCCCGTCGCCGCCGCTGCCGCTGCCGCTGCCGCCGCCGCCGTTTCGACCCGGGCCGCCACCGCCGCTGCGTGTCGCCACCATGAACCAAGACCTTCGCAGGGAGCGGGCAGCCGCCAGCTTCAACCCGGAGCTGCTCACTCACGTCCTGGACGGCAGCCCCGAGAACACCCGGCGCCGCCGAGAGATCGGTGAGGGCGGCGGGGCCGGGCCTCCCTCCTTCCCCGAGCGCGGCTCTGGACTCGCTCGATGAGGCGTCGCGGGGGCGCTGTGGAGCCTGGGCCGCAGCGCCTGGCTCAGCTTTGGGGAAGCCGGGACCCCCAGTCCCAGGGCCGGCCTGTGGAGGGGTGAGGGGTGAGGGGTGTCGTCCCTCCCGAGCCCGCGCTCCGGAAACCCGCTGGGATTCAAGGAGGTGTCACGGAGCCCTGACTTTCCGTCTTCCTCTTGATGCCCTCTCGCTCCCTTGCAGAGAACCTGATCCTGAATGACCCAGACTTCCAGCACGAGGACTTGAATTTCCTCACTCGCAGCCAGCGTTACGAGGTGGCTGTTAGGAAGAGTGCCAACATGGTGAAGAAGATGAGGGAGTTTGGCATCGCGGACCCAGAGGAAATCATGTGGTTTAAAAAGTAGGTATGCCTTAGCCTGGATTAAGCGCCCAGGCCCAAACCTTAATTTAAACGCGCAGCCCACGGGGCGCCTGGGTGGCTCAGTTGGTTAAGCGACCGCCTTCGGCTCAGGTCATGATCCTGGAGTCCCGGGATCGAGTCCCGCATCGGGCTCCCTGCTCGGCGGGGGGTCTGCTTCTCCCTCTGACCCTCCCCCCTCTCGTGTGCTCTCTCTCTCTCATTCTGTCTCAAATAAATAAATAAAATCTTAAAAAAAAAAAAGAAATATTAATATTTGGTTAGTGCCAGGTAGGGTCTGAGGGGGATTGGGGCAGAAGAGGGAATAAAAAACAAGAGGGACATGAGATGCCTTGGTGGCTCAATTGGTGAAGCATCTGCCTTCCGCTCGGGTCATGATCCCGGAGTCCCTGGATCGAGTCCCGCGTCGGGTTCCCTGCTCAGCGGGGGGTCTGCTTCTCCCTCTGCCCTCCTCCCTCTCGTGCTCTCTGTCTCTCATTCTCTCTCTCAAATAAATAAATAAAAATAAGATCTTTAAAAAATAAATAAATAAATAAACGCGCAGCCCGTGGTGTCCTTTTTCACCGTGCTCGGCGTTGGAAGACTCAGACTGCTTATTTTCACCCCACTTTCCAGTGAGGTGTGTGAAAACTAGTGTTTACTTTTGTATTGAAGTCTTTTAAAGGGATGACGTTTGTAGAATGCTGAGCATGAATGGAGAGGCTGCAGTTTTCATTCTCAGGAATCTGTACCTACTAACTCCTTTGGCCCAGACATCTCAGTGTAGAGTGATTTAAATTGCAAAATGCCTTTGCTCTTTGTAACAAGGAGGTTTGTTAAATTGAGAGGCTGAATTCGATTTTTGGTTGCAAGACCAAACAATATTTTGGAGCAATAACATTGTATTTCCTTTTTTTTTTTAAGATTTTATTTATTTATTTGACAGAGAGACACACACAGCGAGAGAGGGAACACAAGCAGGGGGAGTGGGAGAGGGAGAAGCAGGCTTCCCGCTGAGCAGGGAGCCTGATGCGGGGCTCGATCCCAGGACCCTGGGATCATGACTTGAGCCAAAGGCAGACGTTTGACAACTGAGCCACCCAGGTGCCCCACAGATTATATTTCCATATGAGAGTGTAGATCTTGAGTTTAAACTGATGGACAATGGACAATGTGGGGTAGATGAAAACCATGAGTCAAACTTCAGAGTGAATAGAAGATATTTTAAGAACCTAGCATTCTTGAATCTGGTGGCAGCGTTATTTAAATGGATCTCCAGCATATGAGGCCTCCTAAAATCAGGCCTTGGTACTAGTGCTGGAAAGAGTCTGTACTTTTTCTTTTTCCAGACCATCTGTTTTTTTGTTTTGTTTTGTTTCTTAATTAGAAATAAAAGTAAGCACTTTTTTTTTTTTTGCCTTTATCTGAATGAACACTCTAATTACATGATCTGAGTACAAGATTTCTTTGGCCTGTATGCTCTCTTACACTTCTCATTCATTTCTGGGCACTTCCTTTTTTGGGGGTTTCAACATTTTAGAAGAATTCCATTATTTTCATCAATAAAGATTAAATGATACGAATGGTGTGTATTCAAGAGCCAAGAAAAAGGGAACATGTAAAGTTACAAGTTCTGCATTTATGTAGTGATGGAAATTTCTCCTTTATTCTACTGCCTCTAAAACGTTTGGTATCTAATTTTTTCAGTCTGACCTGGTTACTATTGTTGAGGATGAAATAATTTATTCTGGTCCTTAGGACTGTCCTGAGAATGCCTTTCCCTTTTAGTCATAAAATTATGACTTACTTATTTTTAGTAGCCCAAATCAAAGTATTTACCAACTTCCAAGTGTTCTTTTTTACTTTTGAAATTTGTAACTCAAAGCTGTGGGGATATTGAGGTAGAGTACCTCCTAGAAGATTATGTTTCTGAATCACCTGAGTTGGGTTTTAGGTAAACTTCAAAAATGGAAGATTTTATCCTTTTTTAAACAACCCAGAAAGAAGAGGTTTGTTTTGTTTTACTTTTAAGTAGTTGATGCAGTATGTTTCAGAATTGATTAGATTTCATAATCAGTGGTGGTTCATGGAGTGTAAGCAGAGTTGAGTGAAGTCGCAATGAAATAGAGCAAATTCCTTTATGTGGGTTAAAGAGCAGAGGACATGAGCCAGTTGTTTTGCCTGTCATTTTTTATGATACAAACCTTGCTGTTTGGGGAATATAGAGTACCAAGGTTTTTTGTTTTGTTTTGTTTTTTAAAGATTTTACATATTTATTTGACACAGAGAGAGAGAGAGAGCACATAGGGGGAGCAGCAGGCAGAGGGAGAGGGAGAAGCAGGCTTCATGCAGGGCTTGATCCCAGGACCCTGGGATCATGACCTGAGCCAAAGGCAGCCGCTTAATGACTGAGCCACCTGGGTGCCCCTAGAGTACAAAGTTTAACACACCTTTGACATCCTTCCAGTATCCCTAGGATAGGACAGGAAGATCAATTTATGTGAGAGAGAGAAGGGGATTGAAAATTAGTCTTGGCAGTTACTGAATGCCATTGAATCCAAGCCCACCTCAGTGGTAGCTCACACCTGAGTTTCATGTACCACTAAGAAAAAGTGCTGCCAGTTAACTATGACCTCCCGTTATTTGAGAGATGCACCTGATTTCTTAAATGCTAAGTTGGGGGGGGGTAATGCCAGACAGATGAAATATAGTAATATTTCTCTTTCAGGGGATTTTGAGCATTTACTGGTTTCTTTACAATTATTTCTCCTATCTCAAAATTCATATATGGGACTGTCTTGAAGTCGATGGAATATTAGTAAGATACTTTGAGATTTCTCAACTTGAGCAAAGAACTGTTTCCTCCAGGCCTTGGCAAAAAAAACCCTTGCTGTTTGGGGAATGTAAAAGTTGTTTTCCTAATCTCCTCTTCTGTAATTTTTGTCTTTTAACTCTCCTGTTTACTATGAAAAGAAAACTGTGAAGTGTTCTTAAGAGTAATTTAAAATTCTAATGAGGATCAGCCATGGTTTTTGTTACATTCCTTCGGTTTTTAAAGCTGATTCCTTGAAAAGCATCTTCAGGAGGGATTAAACATAATTTAAAAACAAGGACTGAGATTTTGTGCATGAGTTGATTTTCAAACTCTCAAATTCTCAAATTCTTTTGAACTCGAAAGAATCTCAGTATGTTTATTAACATAAACATTCGACAGTCTTTGTGTCACCTATTTTTCCCTCTGAGTTTCCTAGAATTATATTGTGTCATGATCATTATTTCAAATAACCCCATAGCCTCCTCACTTCCCTTCCGGGGAATAGGAGTGTCTTATGTTGCCACCATTTTTGGTACCTAAACTACTACTTCTCTTCCTCAGAAACTCTTGTAAGTTCGTTTCCTATTTTAGTAAAATATAATTGTTAGGGAATGCTGTGGGGCTCTTGCCTTTGAGAGAATGATATCCACATTTATCTTCCTCATCAGGCCTTTGACTCCCACTTTGGTGAGGCGGGGCGTCACTTCTCTACCGTCCAGCAGCAGTAAACTCCTGTTGATCCAAGTTACTTGGAAGCTAACTTCTTCTGTTCATACCCCTCCTTTTTCTTGTTGCTCCCTCCATTCAGTTTAAATTGATATTCGATATTGGTGTAAAAATTATGGAACCTCTGGGTTAAAAAGGCATTTTTTTATGTTCCTTGGATGCAGGCATTCCTTAGATGGTTCAGTCTGCCCCAAGCACCCCTGAAAAGTGATCTTCGAACCTAAAGGTGGTAGGATTGGTTTTAGGACCTCCCCAAAAGTGAATTGGCAGCCTTTCCCCTTTCTTTTAATTCAGGCTGTGCTCACTGGACAGACCAAGATAAACTGGTGACACTGCTTCCTCCTCATTCCTTGAGGAGTCATGAAGACCAGTTAGGTGATACTTACTTTGTACTTTGAGCTCTTTATATATATAGATAGAACAAAATAGACACCCCTAAGATCTTTAACAGTGTAGCCAGGGCTGACTAGTGTATGTGATTTGTATTTTGACTATTTCACAGATTGTGTTTTATGAGAAAATAGTTGAAGACAGAATTTCAGTGTGATTGGAATTCCCTTAAACTGGAGTGAATATCAAGACCATCAGAGATAAATGTTTAACATTCTCACATTTCTACTTCCCCACCTGTAAACTCTGAAGACCTTTAGAGATCTGTGGTTTGGCCCTGAAATATGTATTTACTATCCTGGATGTTTGCTTTGGTTATTTAGGGAAAAATTAAACTATTCTTTAGAAGCTTTTGTTAGCAGCTCTACAAATAAATGTTCTATGGAGTTCCTTTTGATTTTCAAAACAAGTAAAACTTGAAAATAAAGCAAACACACACTCCAAAGAATCCAATAAAACCAACAGATGACACCAACAAAAACAAAAAAACAAAAGGGATTTTTAGGCTAAAACTTGGGTAGAATTTGCTTCCTGGATGAAGTGTAGAATTAAAGAATTCTGGCCCTGAAATGACTTGGGCAGGGAGGGAGTAGATAACACTGGAATTGATCTTTTAGGTGGGAAAATGGTAAATTTTACATTTAATTTCTTAAGAAAAGGGTTGAAATTTTCCCAGCCTCAATCCTGAGGGCCATGGTTGTCTGGCAAGAATGGGTGGTAGAATGCAGTTTCTAGAGTAAGGCTGAGATCGTTTTCTTTTCTCTCCTGTAGAGTGCATTTGGTCAATTTTGTGGAACCTGTGGGCCTCAATTTCTCCATGTTTATTCCTACCTTGCTGAATCAGGGCACCACTGCTCAGCAAGAGAAATGGCTGCTTTCATCCAAAGGACTCCAGATAATTGGCACCTACGCCCAGACGGAAATGGGCCACGGTTAGTCCACATTTGAGGGTCAGTGGGTAACCCATCTCAGGACTTAAACTGATAAATGACTCCTGATGTTTGGTTTTTCCTGCTGCTACACTTTAATTTGTCTTTCAGTTGTTAAGCCTTAAATAAAATTCAGCTTCTCA